GAGCTCCAGTTTGAGAGGTTGACTCGAGAGTTGGAAGAGGAGCGGCAGATTGTAGCGAGTCAGCTGGAGAAGTGTATGCTGGGAGCGGATTCACCGCCTGGAGACAGTAGCAGGTAGAATTAAGTCCTTGATGCTTTTATCTGGGACCTATGGAGTAATTACACATAAACCACCATTCTAAAGATCCAGTAACTTCTATAATAACTCCAGTTTAAATAACAGCTTTACATCTCTCTGGACTGATGGGCTAATTGCTAGTCTGAGAGCTTGTAGTTGGTTCTGCCATCTTTAAACACATCAAATCTCCCAAATTTCTACAGTCTTTCATGTGAATTTGAATTTAGAAACCAGTAATGTTAAAATAATGAAATTTCTTTTTGATTTGAACACTGCAGTGAACTCTGTCACCAGACGTTTGGCAGTTTGCTGATAATGGTGTTATTTACTTTTAAATTAACTGAGGTGAAAGGAAACATATTATGATTTTTTTCAAAGTTGTAGTCCTGTTGTTTATACAAAACATGTTCATTAAGTTCTTTGCGCTAAATCCCCCTCAGATGAAGCAATTTCAGTGGTTTTCTACTTGACATTTTCAGTGCCTTCCACAATGAGCCATTTCAGGGCACTGCCACTTTAAGAAAACAAGCTGTTGATGGCCACGCCCATCCCTCCCCTTATAGCTTCTACTTCTTTGTTTAATAGCTTTATTAGACTGAGCTTGGGTGTTTATCATGGCAGAAATGGGGGATTACACACTTCTACTTGTGATGTCAGAAGCAGGGACTTTTTAAAACAGCTCGTTTTAGGCCTATAATTTCTAAGCCAAACATGGACAGTAAACAAATGCACAGTTTTTTAAACTATAGAGCTCCGGTAGTTGACGTCACTTGTCCCGGCATGCAACAGATCAAATTGGATGGCGCCATCTTGGCAGGCAGTTGCTCACAGTTAGGCTAGTGTTATTTGCAGAAAACCCAAACTAGAAATGGGAAATATGGTAGATAACTGTTGTGCCCCAGGATGCCATAACAGATATTGGACGAGATAAGGAAGAGCCAAATTCCCCAAGATCCGGAATGCCGGAAAAGTTGAATCATTGCAATAAAACACGCTAGTGACCAGGCTTAAATGAAACGGTGGCATCCCAGGAGCAAAGGCTTTCACTCATGCAGCGACCACTTCCTCTCAGGCACTTTAACCAACATTCCCTCAACTGTATATGGTATTTATTTCAAATGCTTTTGTTACGATTCTTACTGGGCATTCTAAACTTATTGTGGCGTGACTTTTTCTGTCTTGTTGCTCATAGCAACAACTAAACATCACGTGATGTGTCATGAGATTTGAAGCGCTGCTGCCTTTCACAGACACTTTTTCTGCACGTGCTGCAAACAGGATAGCCGTCTTCTATCAACTGTGCCTCGGCATTCTTCAAATATCCAAAAAATGCCCATATTTCTGACTTGGTCTTCTTTGAGGGATAATAAATGTCCTGAGCGCTGCCGTCTCCTCCTTTAGCCATTATTTCAGCTTTAGCTTCAAGAAAGTTTTGGTCGTAAACAACAAAGTGCGCATGTGTCGCCGGCAACTTCAGCAGATGATACGGTGGCTGGTAAGGGTCACCGCACCTACACCGCAGCCACGGTAATCCACCAAGATAATATATATTTTTTTAAAACAAGACGGTTATTATTATTGTCAACTTTTTTACCGGGGTTTACCGCTACACCGGTTACCGTGACAACCCTAATCCCAGGCAAGGGTCGGAGATGTTTAGTCTGTTTAATTTCTGAGTACATAAAACCATATCTTCAGTTTTAAAATGTGAAGTAAACTCCAGCGGAGTAAAATTCATGCCGGTCCCGTTCATTTTGTTTACACTGATGCCTGCCAGCATGGCGCCTACGCTCTGAGAGTCACGTGATGCCCAGAGCTCTATTGGAGTGTTTGTAGAAGCATTAAAGGCCCACATGCACAAAAATGCAAAAAGTCCAATTGGCATAACAGGTCCTCTTTAATTAACTTGTGAACAACTTAAATGTTTAAAGTTAGCATGGCTAGCTGTTAGCTTATCTGTCTAAAGGGCGTAAACTCAGTTTCTCCAAACAGAGGCCGATCAAGAAACTATCCTTCAAAGCTTTTGCAGATTTTACTCTCTTCTAAATATTTTATGAGATTTTGTAATATCGAGAAAATGGAGTTATGATATTTTGGATGAATTTTGTTATCAGGATCCATCACAATACCAATAAACTAAAATACAACTCTAATTTTGATGGTAATCATTTGAAAATAAAATACATGTCATTTAAAATTAAATACATGTTCAGATAAGTTTTCCCAGAAGCCTTTGTTTTCATCATTGTCCTTCCTGATTTAACTCCTTCTCTGTTCTCCGGCTCTTTTCAACTTCCTCTTGGACATCAAAGCTCGTCTGAGAAGTCCTACGCATGGAGATCTGCAGGTAAGCCCTCCTGTTTTCATCATACACACACAAGAATGGTTTGAGTTTGGTGAATGCTCACTGAGGCTTTGGATGCCTCTGGCATGTTTTAAACCCCCCGAACTTTAGATCAGATCAGATCTGTATTAATTCAGCGCTAAGGCAGGATTGTTTTTCCAGATGAGAACACCTTCACAGCCTCCAGAAGACTGGAAATTGCTGGCACGCAGAACCTGTTGGCGCCAAAAAGGTCAAGAGGTCATCTACAAGCTGGTCAAGCAAAACAAAGCAACGTTTCCACTGCTGTGGAAGGGCTTTGAATCAGACCCATTTACTATTCTGTCAAAGATCCCTCCGTTCACATATCAGGCTCATTTTTCACTAAACCTAAAGTATCATTTGGGATAAAAGGGTCCAACTCTGCAAAAACGGTTTTATTGATTGTACTGTACATGCCTCATTTTGTTTGTGTTGGGAAAACGCAGAAATTATCGTGACACTAACGGGGAGTTGGATGCTTTATGACAGGTGGAGAGTCTCAGGGTGGAGCCAATGACATGCCTGGATGTCCCAGTCGCCACCTGGAGGCGGAGGAAGGACTCTACCTGCCCGAAGTGGACCGCGTTTCCCTGCATGACAGTGAGGGTCTGTTATCTTTAAGCAGATTAGGGGCTTTTGTCTTCTTTGTTTAACTGTGATTTGTCCAAACTGTGGTGCTCCCTCAGCAGAACCCCAAGCAAGGGTGTACACAAAGGAGTGTAGTGGTTGTAGTGGATGTAGGGGCATATTCCAAGGTGACAGGATTCATCGGGCTCAAATAGTGAAAGAGTGGTTCAGGGAGCACGAGACAACATTTTCACACAAGGATTGGCCACCACAGAGTCCAGACCGTAACCCCACTGAGAACCTTTGGGATGGAGAAAGCTTTGTGCAGCGGTCAGACTCGACCATCATCAGTGCAAGCTCTTGGTGACACGTTAATGCAACACTGGATGGAAAATATATCTGGCGACTTTGTAGAAGTTTATCGAAACCATGCAACAGCAAATGGGTGCTGTAATCAAAGCTAAAGGCGGTCCAACTAAATATTAGTGACCTTGTTTTTTGGTTGCAACTGTTTGTTTGGCTGGACAGTTGTTGGTTGTGCTTAAGCTTCACCCTGTTTGAGGCTACAATGGTGAATCTGATAAACAAGCTAGCTTAACACTTCTTTCATGCCTTATAACAAGGTTCTACTGTAGTATAGCTTTAAATCATCCAGTTTGTCGGTCTCTCCAGACCACCTCACTTCCACACTTCCCTGGGTCCTCCACTCATAATGCACTCACGTATTTAGCAACAGAACGCCAGTGGTGTGAGAGGTTCTCCGCTCAGTAATATCAGAGAAGGAGAAACAGCCGGCTGCTACCACTTCAACTTTGGGACAGAGCCCCAAAAAGGTAAAACACCATTTGAAGTTGCGGACAACTAAAGAAGTTTGGACCTAGAAAACAGCGACTGGTGTTTAGTGCATTCTCTTTTCTTCTGGCAATGCAGGTTCTAGTATCAGGCGGACGTGGCCGAGGGCTGATAGCCCTGATAACCCGGAGGAATGAGGGTTCTGTGACCGTGTTTGTGCTTAAAAACTAGCTTGTTTTACAGATTTGCTATTGCAGCTTTAAGAGTCATTAAACACCTGAAATGATCCAAAACAAAATTAGATGAGCTGACATAAGTGAACCTTAAACAAAGGCAGAAAGGTAGCTAACGAGGGGACTTTGGAAAAAAGAGACTACTTTTAGGATATTCGTACAGACTTCAGCTGTTCATACGCAGGTTTAGTTTTTCTAGAATTTTAAAGGTGTTAATAAGCAGCAATAGAATGTGTTTCAAAAGTATATTTATGCTCTACACACCTTCTTTTAATCAGGACTCTATAGAGAGGCGATGTGCATTTCTCCAGTTAGACATGCAGTAAGGGTTTATTCACATCACCTATATAGACCCAGAACATGACGCTTGTCTTCTCCCAGCTGCTTGAGGCTTTATTTTTAGGTGGAAAAGTTCCACATATCTCCACACCTGGACCGCCGTAATACAGCTCCAGCCTGACGCTGGTGGACATTAGGCTTCCTCACTGGAGCGTTTGACATTTGGGTTGCATCAAGCCTCCTGGCAGCAGGTGTTAAACCACAGAAGATGGGCAGCTGATGGAGCGAAGTCATGCAGCAGCTGGTGCATCCTTTTTTTATACACAGAAAAATGAATTTCTGCCTCTTCCAAAAATAAAAATATAAATAAAAGGACTCTGCAGAGCAATTAACCTCCAACTTAGTGAAGTTAATTCCAGCATGAGTCAACATCCACCTTCTGAGCAGCAGTTTGAAATATTAAAGCAACTTTGCCGTTGGCTTATTTGTATTCCATACAGTTGGAGTGGTCTCAGAGTATAAAAATATCCCCCACATGCATCCTCCTCCTCTTCCTCCTCCTCATCCTACAGCAGAAAGTAGGCCAGCAGATTGTTCCAAGAGCAGCGCAAAAGCTCAACACACACACACATATATATATGTGTGTGTGTGTGTTTATACACATAATGCTGTTTAACGAGTCAAAATCCTGAGGAGATAAAATGCAATTTTTGAAAACTGCTGTGACGAATGATGCCTTTTGATCTCACAACAAACCAGCTAAGATCTCTTTTCTTTCTGTTTTTTAGGCTCAGGAGGTCACTCAGCCCACATGACCTCGTATTCAGACAGCGGCTACCAAGACAGCAGCGTTAGTTACTACAGCAACCAGAATGTGGTGCGTTCGGAGCCCCGCGCCTCCATTTCCAGAAGCCCAAGAGCAGAAGGTCAAGCCTCTGGGCAGGTAGGCCTGATCGCCACTGAGATCATTTCATCTGTTTTTTGTTTGCTTGTTTGTTCGTTTGTTTACTGTGAGTTTTTAAAAGTTTTAATTTAAAATAAGATTTCACAACAGGAAACAACCCCTTCGATCTGTCGGGGTGGATCTGGAAGAATGAGTTATAAGTTCAGGCTGTTTAAGTGAGCGGGAGTTATTTATCTGTAATGAAGACGACAAGCCAAAGGACCAGAAGAGGATCATTTGACCTAGTTGATAACTTAATCATTTACACCAGTGGCCCACTAGCTCAGCTACTGGTTCCTAAGGATGTCCCGATTCGATCACATGATCGGAAATCTGCCCCGATCACGTGGTTTCAGACTGATCGGGACTCGGGCTTTACTTCCCGATCCAAGCCCCGATCCGGACTCGTATACTGGGTTCAAATTACAGGAGAGCAACTTGGTTCTCCTTAAAGGTTATCAGGCTCTCCTGATGCCCTTAAGTTACTTGTGAGGTGAAAAAGACGGAAGCAGGCAGGAGTTAGGACTGGGAGATGCAGGAAGATCAGAGACAGACGGGACAGGAAGATAGGAAAATAAAAACCAAGAAAACAAAACAAAGTTCTTAAATAAATAAAATGTAGGTAGATTTATCCCACTACACATTTGTACCTGTATCATCTTGGATCTTGCATTTGGATCATCTTCAAAACTCCGTCCCATTCCCAGGGGCGTATCTAAGCATTTTGGGGGCCCAGGCAAAATAGGCCCCTGCCAGGTATTTTAAGTTGAAGTGCTATCTGTTTTTATATTACACTTTTTATATTTGCAATAAAGTCCAAAAGGGAAGAATTTATGTTATTTATTACTTGATTGTTCAAGCTACCTCACAGAAGTGATCTGTTGTTAAAAATTAAAATGAAATGGTAATTAAATAAAAAATAAGGAACATTCTGGAACTGTTTCTTCCTTTTTTTTCTTTTTTTTAATGTATCGAAAGTATCGGATCGGGACTCGGTATCGGCAGATTCTCAAAATCAAATGACTCGGACTCGAGGGCAAAAAAAAACCGATAGGGACATCCCTACTGGTTCTATTGGGGTTCTGTTTGCATGACACTAGAAAGTAGGGATGCACCGATACCGATACCAGTATCGGTGAAAGTAGGTAAAAGTTAACCGATACCAGGAACCAATATCAATGCAGTTGCCTGAAAGTGGCTTCACAGTAACTTGTCATTTCTGTTAACCTAATACTGAAGTTTTGTGATCATTTCTATTAATATATATATATATTTTTATCTAACTCACAGTCTTTTCCTGTTGGAAGCAGAGAAGAAAATAAAATCTGTTTCCAATTCATTGCATTCTTTTGTGTGACAGAAGTATCGGTATCAGCGAGTACTCTGATCCAAGTATTGGTATCGTATAGGTTTGGAAAAAAGTGGTATTGGTGCATCCCTACGAGAAAAGTATGAAAAATGAGCCACAGCATTTACTCAACGCACCCGTCTCTAACACAGCCTAAATTCAAATAGATATTTAAATGTTAAAAATCTGTAGAGTTTTTGTGGCTTGAACTTTAGGTTTAACATTTTAGGTAACTAGTGTTGGGCAAGTTACTTCAAAACTGTAATGCATTATTTATTACTTGTTACCCTCATTTTAAAGTCATTTATTACATTATAATATTACTGATTTTAAAATGTAAGGCATTACACTACTTTTGCATTACTCTAAGTTACTTTCAACAAAACAACTTCAGTATGAGTTTGGTAATCTGATGCCTGGTGAACTCATGACACATCCGGTGGAAGGTGATGTGGTGTCTGAGCTATGATTGCTGTTAAAAACAGTTCTTTAGAAGGATTGTTTATGTAATAAATGAAACAACAATCTTTACTCTCAGCACGCTGCCATCTTAGATTAACTGAGCGGCGAGTGAGGTGGTGGGGGCTCCAAGTCTATTTAGCCTTGGTCCCCAAATGCCTTGATACGGCCCTGGATGTGGGACTGACTTCTGGGGTGATCTGATTCTATCACATGTATAAATATTAAATGCTTACATATTATTGCTTTTCACTGGTAAAAATGTGTATTGGGGATAAATCTACCTACATTTTTTCTTTTCAAGCACTTTGTTTTGTTTTCTTGATTTTATTTGAATAATTTCCTGCCCTTTCTCTCTCTAATCTTCCTGCATGCTGCATGTTTTCTCCGTCTTCCAGAAAAAACTGTTTCCTAGACTTCCTACTTTCTAACCATCAGCCAACAGGATCTTCACGTGCGCGGCGCTCCATCAGTAATGAGTTGAAATCACCGGGGCCCAGATTAACTCAGATGAGGAAAAGCACGTCAGAAAAGTACAGAATACCAGAGAACATGCGCTGATATGAACGATCGCAAGTGAATTATTTTGTTTTAGTGGAGCGATTTTGTGAATGTTGCAGCGGCCGCGTGGAGGACGCAACTGGAGTATTTGAGCCGGTACCGCTGCGTCCTCTCTGCCTGCAAAGCTGAGTCCATAAATGACGTAATATATGCAGATACTGGAACTTTTTTCGGGTTTCCCGCAATTTCAATTTTTAAGGAACACATCTTGATTCTGGGTTTAAAAATGCATTGTAATTACCGCGTTACTGACAATTGTACCGAGTAAATATTACCATTTTCTTTCCCTGTAATGCCTTACATTATCACATTACAGCAAAAAGCAATGCATTACAGTAATTAATTACTTTTGTACGGCGTTACTCCCAACACTGCTGGCTGGAGCGGACTCGAATTTCATACATCATCCCAAAAATAGAAGCTAATATCTTAATTTGACCTTGAATGAAAAATGTTGTTGTAAAACCTCTTAAAAATTTTTTTTAATCACGGAGGAGGCAGCGCTCATTTCTGCCTTCAGTCTGACGGCGTGGCGCCAGAGTTTGCGTAGCGTGCGCTTATTGAATCTGTGTGTGTGTGCGTGTGTGTGTGTGTGTGTGTGTGTGTGCGGCACAGCTCCATGAGCCGCTCCAGTCACCGCGTTTCGTTATTGGCGCTATTTAAACCAATGTTGTAAAGTTACTTCTGCCCAGCCCAGATGTGCTCACATGTGCACCCGTGAGCGGGGTTCCGCTGGAACGCGTCTGACCTCTGACAGACGCACTCTGAACTTCAGATCTTCAGCGCGCTGTTAATAGCCTGAATGAGAATCATTTCTTGATTTATTTTGTTACATCCACAATGTTCTGTGTGTGAGGTTTACAACGTCAGAACACCTGCATGAGACAGATGTTAATTACAATCTGTCAGAATGACTCACCACCTTCAGATTTCTCCAACACTGTTAAAAATGATCAAATACGGAACATATCTTGCTATTAACAGCGTGTGCAGGCCAGAGCGCTAAAGCTCGGTGCATTATTATTATGAAGCTAGGACACATGCGTAGGACACACACACACACACACACACACACACACACACACACACACACACACACACACACACACACACACATACACTATACTTGTTTTCAATTACATTTATTGGGCCCACTCACTTTTTCTTAGGCCCACCCACAAATGAGTTTCTGGCTACGCTAATGGTGACATATAACAGACTTCTCTGAGCTCCGCAGCCATTACACTTTTCACCTCGCGCACCCCCAGGGTGATGGCTTATCCCTTGAGGTCCACGTGGCAGGGGTGAGGCGGTGCTCACTCCTCACCCCTGCCACATGGACCCAAGGGATAAACCATCAACCCTACTCATTGGTCAACTTTCCTTGCGGGGTCATACCCATTAGGACAGTGGGAGGGTTAAAACCACAACAAGTAGAAGTGCTAAAAGCCTTTCGTCTAAAGAAAGATGTTTGCACCGTTGCCAGACTCCATTTTTGACCGCAGCTTCTACAACGTCACGGACGTCTCACCCAGCGACGCTCAGTTTGTCATAAACAACAAAGACAGCGGCGGAGTTCGCTGCAGCTCTTTCCTCTGTTCTAAATGACTTGAATGTGTTTAAAAGCCTTTCTTCTAAAAAAAAAGATGTTTGCGATGTCGCCAGACTCTATTTTTAACTACTGCTGAAGTACAGTCAGCATTTCTGTCTTTTTTCTGATTGCTTATTTTTGAGCTGCCTAGTCCCGCCCCTCATGTGCCTCTCAGCCCGTGAGTCACCAGACTCTTTCTCTGTACAGGAGTAAACAAAGGACGAGTCTGGTAGGCCAGGCTACATAATTCCCAAATTGTGTGTCTCCTCTCTTCCTCCAAACAGAATCTAACAATTCCTCCCTGGAAAGTTAGAATGTAGTCGTAGATAACTTCTAGCAGCAATCTAAAATGAATTTCAGGCCAAACTTACGTACTTGTCAAGCGGAAACTGGCGACAGAGGCGTCTGTGAGAAGCTCAACCTTCACTCTCAGCGCACGCCATCGTTGAAAAGAGTCTCCTAAACTCCGGTCTTATTTTTCACTTCAGAGGCCTTTCTCTTCTCATAGTAGACTTCGAAGACACTTTTTCTCAATAGACTCTCAGCCATTAAAAGAAAACTGTGAGAACGGCAAGGTAAAATGAATAGATGAAGGTGCAGGAAACAGAATGCGAACGAAGTGAAAACTAACCCAGGAATGAGCACGTAGGTCAATGGCCTTGCGTGAAAGCTTCACCAGAATGAATGACGGTTATGCGGAGCAATGGTTGAAATGATCCACTCAGAAAATAAAAACGTCCACTACAAGTTGTGTTAACATTGTTTAAGGATTTCACCTGTAATAATATTTATTATTTTAGGTTTCAAAAATTAAAATGTGTCAATCACTGAAAAATGTAAAAGTATGGAAGCCAATTCCCGCCACTCTGGTAAGAAATAAATAAATCTCATAAATATGACATAGCTATGTCATATTTATGAGATAAATAAAAAAATTTTTTTTTCAGACTGGCAGGAATAGGCTTCCATATTAAGAGACGAAAACTCTGCCCACACGTACCCGGATAAATACGTTGTTAAGGACATGCCAGACCTGTAGGTGGCAGTACTTCCCCCGTTCTTAACCTCGTCCTTCGTCTGTGGTCTTCTGCAAGGAGCAGTAATTCCGCTTGCAAAAACAAACAAGCAAACAGCGCTTGGACAATTGATAAAGCGAGCGCAGCTCTGAGGGCATCCATGCTGTCGGCTAGTGTAAACACAGGTCACACACGTGATGTCAGCATTTTTTAGTCGCGGAAAGTGACGTTGCGGACCTTAAAACTCCGGTTTTGTCTGTCCACACGCAGACACCCAAAACGGAGAAAACGCAGATCTTCACTTTGGCCGGAGTTTTTAAAAAGATTCATTTTCGTGTGGATGACAGGCCAAAAGTAGAAAAATATCTATGTTTTGGCAGATCCCCGGCTACGTGTGGACAGGGCCTTAGTCCATTTTCTAGAATTTTTTTTTACATCGGCTAATACATGCTGTCAATCAGGGCAACTATTTTAGCTAACTTGATATTAATCAGATTATTTAATGTTTTTGCCTTTTTGACAATCTATGTACACTTAATTTATCTTCTTTAAATGTTGAAAAAAGGTTTAAAATCAGATAGAAATGTAACTTATTTGTTAGGAATGTGATATTTTAGCCACTAGTGGCTAACTACTGTGAACATTGTACCTGTAACTAGTAACCTTATTTTAGCATTTGTTTACTAAATATTGTCTTTGGTTCAGTTGTGAAACATAACATTTGTCAAAATGACTGAAAAGGTCCTTAACTAAGTTGCTATTGTATGCTAGCCGTTAACTAGCATTAGCATTATAGCTAATATTTATTGTTTCGGAAACTTTTGAACTTTGTCTAAATCACGGAGGATTGCATGACGATATTTCAGTAGATACTCATCAGAAAAACCAGAATATTTACTGCTGTTATTAACTCATTCACTGCCAGCTATTTCTTGATCAGAAAAGCCCTTCGCGACCAGCATTTTTCAGCGTTTTTACAGTTTTTTTTAAGAGTCACAGAACGTTGCACGCTAGGATGATGTCAACACCAAAACTAACAAAACAAAGAGGAAATTCACCTCTTACATCAGGAAGTTTCGAAGCTTTATTCGTTCTTTCATAATCCGTTGTTGAATTGTGATCGGCAGAAGCTGTACCGGTTTGCGCCTCGCTTCTTTTACAGCAGCGGCCCAAAACGATCTCCTAACACATGGATGTTCTGCTTCCTGATCACGTGATGTATGCGGATGAAGATCGGCTTTAGAGCTGAGATGTTTGTTTTCACGGTGTGGGTGCTCGTTCCGACACCCACACAGTAAAAAAAAATGCAAATGACGACTTTAGTCGTCAATGGCATTATCAGTTTGATGTACTTGTACAGGCTACTGGTATAGTTTGGACTTCCTTGTTTGCATCAGTGTTAAAGCTGGTTTTAATGATTATTCATGACTGTAAAATGCAATTGACAAAGAAAATATCAAGGCATCTTGTGCGTTGTTAAAAAATGGTTCCAAATAATTTGGAGCCAATGGTTTGAATTAAAAGCTGTGATGAGAAAAACCTTCATTTAAACATTTACAACATGACAATTGGACAAAAAGATCAGCATCCATGCTGCAGCTACTTTATTGCAGCTTGTAAGAGTAAAATTTCCATAAGTGATTGTTTAAAATTTCTGGTTGCTACCTGAGAAATGAGTTTCTTGTCATACCTGTCGCCAGCGCCGGCGCTCCGCACACGCACACCACGCACAGCGCGTAGGGCACCACGCCGGGGAAGGGGCACCAAACGCAAGCTTATGAAATATAATATATATACGATAAAGACAGATTTCAATTAGAAGATGTGCAAAGCAAGTTAACAGCATGTTTACAGAGAGAAAACAATACAAAAAGGAAAGGAGATGGACCGTGTCCACTTTTCACTCTCTGTCCGGGGCTTCCGGACTGGGGGTTCTTGTAGTGATGAAAATGTCCGGCTTTTCATCCAGGAGCAGGGATGGGGGAGCTGTATATCCTACACATCCAGGGGACCCGGAAGAAAGTTTTCTACCTATATTACATCATTTATGGACTCTTTTGAGCAGAGAACACAGAGAGCAGCACAGCGCTGATCGTTGTTGCGCAGCGATTCAGGCTGCTGCTTCCAGCGCACGGTCCATTCTCAAAGTGGCGCAGCCAAAAAACTATAATGAACACACGATCGTTCATGTCTGCACATGTTCTCTACTTTCTGTCTTATTTGTGCCTGGCGCTCTGCTACTGCAGAGCTCATCACCTGTGCTGTGGTGATTTCACCTCACTGACGCAGCATTGAATCGCGCTCTCCGCTTTGCGGTCAGGAGATCCCTTTGATCTGCTCAAAAGTAACTGATGAGGTGAAAAAGTAAGAATCGAGGCAGCAGGTTTTCTGGAGAGTTTAGAGGAGATGCAGGAAGATGAGAGACAGACAGGACAGGAAAATATAGTTAAATAAAAACAAGAAAACAAAACAGTGTTGAAAAGTAAAATATAGGTAGATTTATCTCCACTACACGTTTTTACCTGTATAAAACAATAAGTTACACACATGTAATATTTATACATTCGATACAATTCAGATCACCTTCAAAACTCAGTCACACACCCAGGGCCGTATCAAGACATTTTGGGGGCCAAGGCAAAATGACCCCCCCCCCCCCCCCCCCCCACACACACACACACACACACACTAAATATCAATCCTACTTTTTGGAAAATAATAAGCAGTTTGTGCATACAAGAGAATTAAAGAAAATTTAAGGTGAAGCGCTTGCACATACTGTGTTATTGTGTTGTTTTTTCTGTATGTGTGTGTGTGTGTGTGTGTGTGTGGGGGGGGGGGGGGGCACCACGAAGCCTTTGTGCTTAGGGCACCAAAATAGCTAGAAACAGCCCTGCCTGTCGCAACAGCAGCTACTAGAAGCTCAATAATTGCTGTCATGAGCATCAAATAATATCCACAAATCAAGCTGCTTCCTACCGTCCAATCATCCAGGCTCCTTCCACTGGGGCTTGTAATTATATGTATTTAACATGACATCAGAAGCAGAGTGACAGATAAGTGTTCTCCCGGCGTTTCCCACATCATAATTTTTCCTTTGACCGTTCATGAGTGTGACGACATAATGAGGCAGATTTCTTGTTGTCAGAGTTTGTAATCAAGGAGCATTTGAGATTTGGTTTAGATGATTTTGCTTCTATAAATGTGGAAGATTGACCACCGTTTTCATGCCTGACCTGTTGTTTATCGGGTGAATTAAACGTCTCATTCATCTGTGTTTGGAAGAGTTGAGCATTGATTTTCTTTTTAACATATCCTTCCAGGCGTCCAGTCGAGTGTTACGGAGGATGGCCTCCCTCCCCTCCAGGAGCCAGTCCCCCGGCTGCGGCACCACTGGAACGGTCTCCCCCTCTCGCATCTCCATGCGAACATCTCAAGGCAGCACGTACGACTCACCCATCCTGTCTGAGCCCAAACCGTTGGCTGCCATTTTTCCGGGCACCACCATGCCGCCGTCCTGCCTGTCGCCAACTTCCCCGACCGATGCCACTCAGGTTCTGGGAGGTGGAGGGGTTGGCGGACGCCTTGGCTCAACCCTATCTTTGATTGAGGGTAGGGCACTGACAGGGTCGCCACTGCACGTGGGGTTAACGGCGGTGCCGCAGCACTATGGTTCCACGCTGCCCCGGCAGACCCAGTCATCGGCGTACGGTGCTGATCCGTACGGCTTGTACCAGAGGAGTGCTCTACCACGCCCCGACAGTCTCATAGGTCAGTTCTACCAGTAACCCGTCCTAAAGAGTTACAAGGATTGGACTTCTGCTGGATGTTTGTTGGGATCCTTAAAGAGGTGCAACTCTAGAATTGTTTACAGGTGTGGACCATAAAATTAGAATATCCTGACAAAGTTCGTTTGTTTCGGTAATTCCTTTCAAAAAGTGAAATGTGTACATTAGATCTATTCAGCACTCACAGACTGATTTTTCAGATGTTTATTTAAACAACTAATGAAAATCCCAATGTCAGTATCTCAGAATATTAGAATATCAATTCAAACTAATGCAACAAAAATATTTTTTTAAATGTTGGCCACTGAAAGTATAAATATGAAATGTGTGAGCATGTGCAGCACTCAATATTTAGTTGGGGCCTTTGACATGGAGTCCATCAGTCTGAGGCACCGCTCAGGTGTTATAGAGCCCATGTTGCTCTGATGGTGGCCTTCAGCTCTTCTGAATTGTTGGTTCTGGCGTGTTGCATCTTCCTCTTCACAAGACACAGATTTTCAACGAGATTAGGGTCAGACCAGTTTTCTGGCCGATCAAGAACAGGGATATACCCTGGTCCTTAAACCAGGCACTGGTAGCTGTGGCGCTGTGTGCAGGTGCCAAGTCCTTTTGGAAAAGGACATCTGCATCTCCATAAAGTTGGTCAGCAGCAGGAAGCATGAATGCTCTAAAACTTCCTGGTAGACGGCTGCGTTGACCTTAGACCTCAGATAACAATGGACCAAAACCAGCACATGACATGGCTCCTCAAACCATCAGTGACTGTAGAAACGTTCCACTGGACCTTAAGTAACGTGGCTTCTGTGTGTCTCCTCTCTTCCTCCAAACTCTGGGATGGGGATTTCCAATGGAAAAGCAAAATTTACTTTCATCAGAGAACATAACTTTGGACCACTCAGCAGCAGTCCAGTTCTTGACACAAGGAACGCGACAAAAAAAATTATTTGTCATAATATTCTAATTTATGACCAGCACCTGTAGAAATTAGTTTTATTAAAACGAGAGAAAATCAAATTGAATCTTAAACTGATTGTTATGGCTACTCAATGATGGGAAAAGTTCAAATTCATGACTATTTAGCATAATTACTTGTTACTTTAGTAAACCATTTTTTTTATCGGTGCACATCTAAATCACTGCATCAGGCATCACCCGGGACATGTTTAAGAAAGATCCCTGCACGGCAAACCAAACTCTACACCATGATCAGTGTTGAAAACAACAGAACATTGAAACTTTGGTCACCAACAGGTTTTGTTTTTTAAGCACAGAAACTTTTGAGCAGACATTTTCTGATTAAGTCTAAAATACCAAGAGTTCATATTTTAAGGACTCCTCAGACTCTGATTTGTGGCAGTAGTTTTTAGTGGTGGTAAAGACGTATGAAAGTGTACATTTAGAGACCAAAATTACTTTTATCATTTTCAGGAGAAACAAGATTAAACTGAAGTGGATTTAAGATCATTTTTGTTATATTTAGGCATTAGTCTACGACACATAAAGGAAACACAGATTAACAATGCTGCTATAAATGCAGAGAGGAGCAGCTGAGTGAGAAGCAAGTAGTCGTGTATGAAAATATGTGGGTTTTTTGTCAATAGTGTTGGTGGTTGGAAATAGAATTGTATAAAATGCATCTCTGGACACCGAACCACAGAGCGTGTGGTGGTTATGTTGGAGAATTGTGTAGACCTGTGTGTTCTGCCCTCGTTCTGCCATCTTCACTTGCCACAGTTTGGTTTATTGGGCAGCCCTCATTCATAGAAAGCATGCTAGATCTTTTAGTTTCCATCTAGTTCTTGTAGTTAATCTGCAAACGCTGTATTAGTTCTGAATGTTTACACAGTGCAGCCGTTTCCTTTTGTCCTCCTTCTTTACATTTGCTGTGGATGGAGAGGTCAGCTCTTACCTTCGAGCTCCACCGGATCTTGTCGTGTCAGGATGACAAACATCTTGCTGCAGGAGAGACAAATGGCGTTGCAGCAAGTTTGTTTCTCCGCACATAAACAGATCCACGCTCTGCAGACCAGAACCCATTTCCTCTGATGGTTTAATGTTCTCTTTTTCTGTGGAACTTATTAGATATCGGAGCGCGTTCTGACTTGGCTGCAGCTCCACAGCTGTTTATATATTTTTTAAAAAGCTCCTTAACTGCCAGTAAAAGTGAAACGCGATCCAGATTTTGGATTCTCGTTGTTTACAGGAAGGATTTGTCTTTTATCAGGAACTTCCTTCTGATCTTATTGGACGTGCTGATTGACGCGGGAGGAAAACAAGCCAGGGAAATATCCCAAACACGCTTTCACAGCACGACAGCACACCAGATCAGAGGGATTCCTCTCGGATTTTCCTTTCATGCTTTGCTTTTAGCAAACTGATGGATGTAGGAGGAAATGCTGTTAGACTCAGCTGGAGGAGGAGGTGGGAGCAGGAGGAACAGCGGGTGGGAGACGGTCCAATTAGACAGCAGGAGGAACTGAAACGAAACTTTACCGTCAAACTCTGAGTGTTTTTCTTATTTAACATGTACATCCTGTTTCACCGAGATTCTTTTCTTTAGTGTTACTGCTGCTGAATTACCCATCATGCACTACATGCTGCAAAAACACTGACATCACAATACAAAAAAGATAATTCTGTCTTTATCATGAAGGTTAAAGTGTTGCTTTGTAAAACTCATAGCTTCCTGAACAGCCTCCGTTTGGAGAAACAGTTTACATTCTTCAAAACTACAGATTTTGGTATTGGCCACACGCAGACTAGCTGTTAGCCTATCAGTCCTGGATGATTCCACTCTACAGTTGGTCTCTGATGTAATCTGTCTGCCAAACATTGATTAGTCATGCAAACGCCAATATTTGGAGCACAAAGACCCAAACGTCAGCCAGTTTAGACACCTTTGATGGGATTCAATAAAAATGTTTATGCTTCAGCAAAGACATTTTCTAAATCATGAATGTTTTTCTGCTTATGGAAGGAATACAGTCTTACCAGAATAGAACAATGTGGATGTGTTGAATATTTATTATGTGAAATTATGTATTTCAATTCATTTTAAGTTAAAGTTACAGTGTGTACTTTTTACCATTATTCTCTGGAAATATCCATCAAAATGTTGTTGAAAATCAATGAAATGATGCCCAGTTGAAAAATATTGACGGCTTTTTAACATTTAGAGGTGGGAATTGATGAGCTTTAATCAATATCAATGGCATCGTTGATCCTGTCTATCGATCCAATTCCTTATCAATTCCAGAGTAGTTAAACAGGTGGCAAAAGACTAATAGCACATCCTCTATGCTCGCTGTGAAGACAGAGCCGTCTTGTTCGGTGCGGGGTTGCTGTAGCTTTTGTAGAGTGGGACAAATCTCACCACAGATCAGACCTTTGCTGCTGGAGCCCGCTAGTGTGGAGGTGTATATATGAGGTAAATGATGCTAACATGATAGTGTTCGTTGATTAGCTACCTGCAGCATTAACAGGAGAGGACGTGCTAACATCACCGCTGCTGCTGCGTTGATATTCACCAGTCCAGAGCGGGTCAGAACACCTCATTAACTATAAGTTAAAAGTGCTTTTCAGTCCATCGGTCCCAGCGTGCTCTCTGTAATTAATGCTTCTCTGGTCTCTGGTCAGGTCCCTGCTTACTTTAAGAATGCTGTAATCCACCCGCTTCTTAAAAAACCGAGTGTCGACCCCTCTCTCCATAGCAGCTTCAGACCCATCTCTAAACTTCCGTTCATCTCCAAGATCTTGGAAAAGGTTGTGGCTAAACAACTCACAGCTGCTCTTGATGAACATAACAGCTATGATAGCTTCCAGTCAGGTTTTCGTAGAGCTCATTCTACTGAAACAGCTCTTCTTAGGGTCTCTAATGACCTTCTGACCCACAGTGATGCAGGGGACTGTTCTGTTCTGGTCCTGTTGGACCTGACTGCAGCCTTTGACACTGTTGACCATCACCTGCTACTGGAGAGGCTGAGAGACTGGGTAGGCCTATCAGGATCTGCTCTGGAGTGGTTCTCCTCTTATCTCTCTGAGCGCTCCTTTTCTGTGGCCGTCTCCAAGTTTAGGTCCTCCACCACTTCCCTTACCCATGGTGTCCCACAAGGTTCTGTGCTGGGGCCTATGCTCTTCCTCCTCTATCTGCTTCCTCTTCAGCACATCCTGAGCTCCTTCAAAGGAATCTCCTACCATCTTTATGCAGATGACATCCAACTGTACATCTCCTTTAAGCCCCATGAGATGTCTAAGCTGCAGCCGTTACACACCTGCTTAGACTCTATCAAAACCTGGATGGCTGGGAGCTTTCTTCAGCTGAATGAAGATACGACTGAGATCCTCATCTGTGCCCCAGACAAGCTGGTTCCCAAAGTCAGAGACTCCCTTGGTCAGCTTGCTTCTCACACCAAACCCTCAGTCGGGAATCTTGGCGTGACATTTGACCCAGCTCTCACCCTGGATTCTCATGTCAGTTCTCTTGTTCGCTCTTCCTTCTTCCATCTCAGGAACATTGCTAAGCTGAGTCCCATTCTGTCTCGCTCTGAACTTGAGACAGTTATCCACACCTTCATCTCCTCACACTTAGACTACTGTAACTCTCTTTTCACGTGTCTGAGCAGAACCTCCCTTAACCGTCTACAGGTGGTTCAGAATGCCTGTGCTCGGCTTCTGACCAAGTCCTCCAAACACACCCACATCACCCCGCTTCTCCTCCAGCTTCACTGGCTGCCAGTCAACTTCAGGGTTCATTTCAAGATCCTGGTTCTGGTCTATAGGGCCTTACAGGGACAAGCACCATCTTACATTGGTGACCTTCTTAGTCCCTACACCTCCAGTAGGTCCCTGAGGTCCAGTGATCAAAGTCTACTGGTTGTGCAGCACCAGGCTAAAGACCAAAGGTGACAGATCATTTGCTGCTGTGGCCCCCAGACTCTGGAACTCTCTCCCCCTGAGCCTGAGGTCAGTGGACTCAGAGGTCTCCTTTAAAAAGCAACAGAAGACTCACTTGTTCAAGCTGACTTTTGGATGACCTTCTTCACCACCCTCTCTTTATTCTGCTCTCCCCACCTATTCCACCTTCCTCAGGATCCACTGATTTCCCTCTTTCCTTTTCTCTCTCTCTTTCTTAATATTTTTTCTTTTATATCCCAATTATCTATTTTTGCTCATTTTAAATATATTTTTAAACATTTTCTAAATGCTTTTTTATATTTTTACATTTTTTGTTTTTGTGAAGCGTCTCATGATTTTTATCTTGAGAGGTGCTATAGAAATGATATTTTCTTCTTCTTCTTCTTCTTCTTTTTCTTCTTCTTCTTCTTAAGTTATCTCGTATTTTGTGCCCGAAGGTTTTTGTATACTCATAATGCTTCCTCCCTTGATGAAATATCTACTTTGCAACTATTGCAAGTTACCCTGTTGTCCTGCTTTCTTGTGCTGCTTAGACGCCATGTTTCCTGCTTCCGGCGACGTCACTAACGCCGACTGGAACTGATAAGAAGAGTCGTTTGCAAAAGTGCCGAACTATACCTAGGAATTGAAACAATGGGAACCGGTTCTCAACAAGAACTGTTTTTCAATTCCCAACCCTGGTAACATTTATGAAAATCTGGTCTAAAATACATGGGAGCGGGTCTAAGTCTCTGAGGGACACCACATTAGATGCCTTATTTCCTTCTACTGGTGCCCATGAGGACAAAATGAATTCACTGATTTGGAACAACTTTCTTAAGTCAAAATAGTCTGAAATAAATTTCAGGCATTTTTATCTTTTGATTAAGAAATATGACACAATTTTGTGACTTTTTAAATTTGTCAATGATTTTAAAAGGAGAATCAGCGACTTTTTGATATTTTTGAAAAATTTTCTTGAGCCTTTATGTGCTAAAATGAACCTTTACAGGGTTAATGAAATGCCACCCATCCCCTATTGCTCCCTGTGGCCAGAATACCATACCTGCAACTTCACAGTTGCCGGTCTGCTCTGTTGGACTTGAGCTGACATACCCGGCGCTGCTGTCTGGCTCCAGCACGTGTTTTAGATCATGAACACGTCTGATTTATTTTATTTAGTGATGAATCATCCTGTAGACACAAATGAAGGCTGGGAGATATTCCAGCTGTTAGATTAAGGTTTTGGTTTCAGTTCTACAAACGGACACTAGGGGGTGCTAAAAGCAAGCCGAAACTGCCTTGTCTCCCTTTAGGACATTTTGTGGCAAAATTGCAACTAGAAAATGTACAAAGTACAAATGTCACTATTTCTGTATCTCCCTGTAGTTAAGCAGCCAGCGTACAATGTCTCATAAAAGAATCTGATCAAATATAAGCTAAGATCATATTGTCTGACGCTGTCCGCCTCGAGCTCCTTAGATAAACATCTGGAGGTGAAGAAAAGGTGAGGCTGTTTTTCTTATTTCAGTCTAACTGGAGATATTCGGCATAAACATCTTGATACTGAAAATGATTTTCATTTATTAGTTATTTCCTTGGCAACATCTTCTGCGTGGAAAATACAGTTAATTAGTGTGGAAATATCCCCGTCACATCACAGGTATGGCTCCACACAAGCTTGTCTTTTTTTCTGACATTTACTTACCAGTTAACTCGCTGTCAGACATGCTTAGGCGAGGATGAGGAGCGGACGGACATCCCTGGAGATCCAACCTTTCGACTTTGCTCCTCTCTGATTGGCTGAGATGGCCGCAGCTGGCTGAGAAACTTGAGAAGGGATTATTTCTGTGCTGCTGCCAGAATCTTGGCTGAGCCTGGCTTACAGACACACGTTTTTGGAGCAAATTTCCCACCAAAGAGAAACGTTTGCGCCGCATCTGTGAACGTGGAGTGTTTAGGTGTAGTCGCTGTGGCCTCGGCGCTGTTGAAGACTCTTCTGCAAAAATAAAATTGCTCCTCTTCCTCACTTTCTCCTCTTCCTCTGCTGCTCTGTCTTCCCCTCTGTGCGGTGCTGTTGCTGCAGACGCAGATGTGCTCCTCCATCCTGTCCTCCACTAATCTTTCTGACCTGTGGCCCTGATGAGAGTCTGCTGTGTAATTCTGCACTGAAGATGCATTTGTTCACCTTTTGTTTTAAAACAAACTAAAATGACACAAAATATCTGACTTTGTTGAGTCTAGCTGAGCAACGTCCTGCAGTGCTGCTGAGTGGCCTAATATGTCCCCTAAAGACGTATTCTCGATTATCCTGCAGATCCATGATAATCCCAGATTACATGAGGGAGATAAGCAATAGTTGGACATACATGATGAGGCTATTAATGGGAGTAGCTTAGGTAGTAACAGCTGGGAATCTGCCAGTATACAGAGCTGCCAAAAGGTGGATGTATGATGGTGTTTTTGCCTGTTCATACACTTGCTTGCAAAATATCTGATGAACTGATTGGATGAGATAAATGAGGAAATTACAGTTTATCATGTTAATGAAGATTTTAGAGCGTTAAAGTACAAACATTTTATTTTCTGGAACAAAAGTTAAACATCCTGAGTTATTTTTATTATTTTTAGTTGCTTGTTGGGATGACGAGTCATCAACTATAAATGATTTTCATTAATAAATGTCACGCTGAGGAGCAGGAGGTTAGGACCCAAGATGCAGACCCAGGATGACACGAGGCAGGAATGTTAAATAAAGAAGAATCCTTTATTTTGGATGACAAAATAAAAGTCCAAAAAGGGCAGGAGGCAAAAACCCAGTAACAAAAATGAAGCAGGGATAAATCCAAAAGCTCACTTTATGAGCAAAGTACCAAAGACCAAGAGGGAGAGACAAAAAAAAAAAAAAAACGCTGACATAAACAATGGACTGACAAACACAGAGTGACAAGACAAGGCTTATAAACAGGAGGGAGGTGATCAGGGGAACAGGTGGCAGTTGTGAGTGGTGAGCTGGAGGGAAGGCAGGTGAAAACAATAATCTAAATGGTGAAAAGAAAACAAGCAGGAGGGCAGATAACTCTAGAAACCGGATAATTAAACTTAAAGACTTAGGGCAAACAACTACTAACTAGAGGGATAAGAGAGGAGAACTAAAACTATGAAAACTAAGGAGTGACTAGGAGGACACAAGAGGAGAGATCTACAGAGGGCTGGGGATACTGGGCCACAGAACATGGAGAACCATGGAGTGGGAACTGGAGGGGCTGGGGAACAAAGGGACACAGAACATGACAATAAAACCCTCTAACGGGCAGCCATCCTGCCTGGTGCAACACATTTTAGTCCCTTTACTTGCTGAAATCAACAGAAGTGTCTATCAGACTAGGAAAAATCCCAAGAATATTATAATATTATAAGAACATTATTATCCTACATTATTACATTAATCCATCATCCATCAACTCATTCATCCATCCACCCATTCATTCATCCATCAACCCATCCATCCATCCACCCATTCATTCGTTCGTTTGTTCATTCGTTCTTTCATCCATCCATCCATCCATCCATCCATCCATCCATCCATCCATCCATCCATCCACCCATTTTCAGCTGCTTAACCAGCGTCAGGTCACAGGGGCAGCAGGGAGGCCCAGACTTCCCTCTCCCCAGCCACATGTGCCAGCTCCTCCGGGGGAATCACACGGCGTTCCCTGACCAGATGACAAATGTCCCTCCAGCGTGTAAAAAAGAATACTCATTCATTAAATTTTGCTACTTTTGTTGAATGTTTATTAAGGTTGAATACATACAAACCCCTACTAAATATGTGATAATATGGTGGCAACCACCATAAGGGGTGAATAGACCAGCAGCAGCAAATGGCTCCTTCATCACCAGCTTTATGTTCAAATTCTTTGCTTGAACTGTTTAACTGATCCACAAAGCCCCCACCCCCTTCATGACCCAAAGCCTCCTTATAATTGGAGCGTTCTTTCAGCTTATCTGCTGTGAGATTGGAGGATGGAAAAGCCCCTTTGCCTTGGCTGTCTGACTTGCTGATGTCAATGCCTGCAGCAAACTTTGAGTGACCAGAGTCCCCGGAGCAGTTTATGAGCACAATGTGGGTTGTTGTCTGCACTGCATGGAAGGGTTTTTCTGCAAATCTCATTTAACAGAGGATAACAAAGAGGGAGAAACGTCAAGACATAGATCTGGATTCCTAATCCCAAAGCTGCCTTGTCTCCCTTTAGTGCTGTACATGCCAGATTCTCAAAATGAGATGCTAAGAAATGACGGGGCTACATTTACATCAACTCTTGAAAAAAACTATTTTTACATGCACTCTTACATGATATCGCCATATCTTGTGGAGTATTTTTGTGCTTAGTGTTTGTGTTGGCAGTGCCTGGTTAGGGTTAGGGTTTATCTTGCACATCCATTGAGTTTTTCTAGTTTTGTGTTGGCTAATGTTGATCAGCCAGAGATAAAGATAAAGCATAATCCATTAGCAATCTGAGCAAATGCCGAGGATCACTCCTAACTATTATTAAACAGAATGTTAGCTCAGTGTCTCTAATGCTGAAAACGTTACAGCCATATTGACTGGGTTGGGTCAACCACTCAATGATTATTTTCATCGTTTATAGAATATTCTCCGTCAGTTGAGATATTTGATCAGGTTTTAGCTCAATATCTCTTACACTGAATATCATATCCAACATTGTAGTTTGGCTGTGGTGGCCATCTTGGATCAGGTTGACTCCTATAGGTAATCAGCTGACCCCACAGCAGGTGATAATTTTTATTGTCTTAGTTCCAGCTTTTGTTAAAACAGAATCTTAATTTTTTTCTTTTGCATTTATTCTACTAAGTTATGTGTCAGGTATTTTATTTATTTTTTGTGTGCACCTGCAGGACTTCACAGCTCATACGCCGGTCATGGAGCGCAGATAGACCCAGAGCTAAGGGCAGCCATGTCTCCAGACTGTCACATGACGTCTGTTTTTGATGAACGCTCGTTCCAAAGCCCCCTCTATCACAGCCCTACCCACGACCCCCAGGGCACCCTCTACAGGACAAACACAGGTACTGCCACTCCACAGGAGTTCCTCAGGGGTCTCTACTAGGATACTTGTTATTTTCTCCAGACTGTTTTATGGTGGATGTTTCTTTTTCATATTGATGTCTCAAATGTACTAATTTAAAAAACATACAAAACAAACAAATATTAACACATCTTTATGCAAAGTTGTCAGCATCAAGCTACTTAAATTTGCCAAGTTCAAATTGATTACAACCAGGACAAAATTTATATTTAAATTTTTTGCCAGGCACCAATATTTTACTTTTAAGGAATTAATGGCCATTTGTGTGTGTTCTTTCTGATTAAAAATACATCTCCAGTGTCTGCATGCTAAGAAAGCCCCATTAGTGTGAGATAATACTAATAACTATTTCCCACAATGATCTTTCCAACCTGCTATCCTGTGATTAAGAGGTCAGATTTAAACAAATTCCTTAAACATTCTCTTGAAAAACGTTATTTTTGTTCCCTCGGGTCAGATTTTAATTAGACTGAACGCTTTCATGTTCTTTGCAGCATTGTTAATTAAAGACTTTCATAACACCGAGGTTAGTGAAGTACAGAAGGAGCCATTTTTAATTTGTTTGGGCATGATGTGAACTGGTTTGACCTTTGCTTTATTTTAAATGGTTTGTTACTATTTAACTACCTAAGTCTAACACCTTCTGATGTGTATTGAATCCTCAGGTATGGGGACCCTTCCTCGGACCACAAGCCATTGCGGCACGCTGCCGTACCAAAGAAGCAGCTATGGGCTGAACTCAGCAGCTGCGTACGTCGACTCCATTAGAGTGTCCACTGAGCCCGTCTACTCCCCAAGACACTCCGCGCTGGTGGACCGAGTCATCACTCGGACCCCTTCCATTGAGAGCATCCATAAGGACCCAAGGTATGGATTGTTCCAAGTATGTTGGTGAACTTTCTACCCTTTTACGGCTTCAGTGCTATGATTTTGTTAAACGTAGAGACAAAAAAAGTAAGAATTACTTCTCTTTTCCCCCCATATGACAGTTTGGTGAACGAGGGGAGAAAGCCCCGCCCCCTTTAGGGCTTTATAGCTCAAGTAGACTTCACAGATGATTTCAAATATAGTTTTATATTTTAGAAGTTCTCCATAAATGTTGTGGCTTAGGGTTTAGAAGTAAAAAGAAAGAAAAAATTGTTCTCTCCGTTTCTCTTCAGGGAGTTTGCGTGGCGCGACCCTGAACTGCCGGAGGTCATCCACATGCTGCAGCATCACTTCCCCTCCGTTCAGGCCAACGCTGCTGCCTACCTGCAGCACCTGTGCTACGGAGACAACAGGGTCAAGGTGGAGGTGAGGTGATGAGGCACGCTGGGCAGCAGCGAGTGTAAAAATAACTGGATGACGCGTCACAACTCTTTAATCAAGTGGAAACAGTTGCTGCTGCTCTCAGATGTTCCTGTGGCTTTCATGGTGGCATCAGTCCAAACAGCTTTTTCAAACAGCAGCATCAGATTTAGTTTAATAACTTGCATCCTTCATTTTATTGTCTTTATTCTGAGTATTCTCAGCTTACACTGTTTGAATGGACATTTTTTTGGGAAGCAGCCCGACGGGGAGCCAAAGCACTGCTCCAAGAAAACTTTACCTGGCACTGGTGCCAAATGTGTCAGCGCTCCGACACGCTGAAACTCGCGCACTCTCAGCTGCTGCAGCAAACGCCAACGCAACGGCACCGTGTGCAAGAGGCGCTTTAGCGCCTCAAGTTAGTTTGGTGATGAGCTTTTCATTTGTCCTTGGACGCATGCCTGATTGTTTAAACACAGAATAGGAAAAGAAACGGGTCTGCTGCCCTCCTGAGACGAGTTTATTTTAGAAGCTTCTCTCCCGAGGTGTTTGGGTCCAGATTTTAGCACAGCACCTACGAGGAAATGATTGCATCAGAACTCAGTTGAATCTTTTCTGTGCATAATGGTTTTTGTTGTTGAGGTGTGTCACCTGGGAGGAATCCAGCACCTGGTGGACCTGCTGGACCACAAGGTGTCCGAGGTCCAGAAGAGTGCCTGCGGAGCTCTGAGGAACCTGGTCTACAGCAAGGCCACTGATAGCAACAAGGTGGCGCTGAGGAACTGCGGCGGCGTTCCGGCTCTGCTGCGCCTCCTCAGGAAAACCACTGACAACGAAGTCCGTGAGCTGGTCACTGGTACGTCAGCTGGCTACTGTTCAATTCAATTTAAATGTAAACAAGATTGGTTTACCTCTCACCGAGGCCCAAATTAATCAGGCTTTAATATTCCAGTTTGTCTTTTCTACACGAGCATCAGCATTTTTTGAAGTTTTTCTTTTTGAATTTAATTGTTATAAAATCCCGTGTCCTGCTGTTTAATGATGTGAAAACAAATGTATAAATAGCTGATTATTATAATCAGCATTTGTAAGTTGACCACATGGTGCATTTAACTGGGACTCTTATTGTGAAAAGATTGAAGGAAGTTGTGTCAATTCAAACCCTGGCAGCAAATTCCATGAAGGCTGTTGAAGTTGGGAAGAAGCCGAGGATTATTCATTTGTTAGGTCTCAAATCTTTCGGTATCTTTCAGTGACAACATCAAATGGATTTAAACTAATAAAACAATTTTTTATTTTCTCTTACTGTGGTGAAGGCGTTTGAGTGTCTCAGTGATCCTAGGAGCTAAGCTGTCTGGGGCTTAAAGCCTCTGGTAGGGTCCTAGGCGAAGGATCAGACGAAGTGCAGCCCAAAGACTCCTTATGATGAGAAACATGAATGGTGTTACAAGTCAGGAAACCGTGTTCTCTCGCCCGGACGCAGGTCACTGGGGCCCTAGTGGCCGGCCTTTCACCCATGAAGCCCAGCCGGGCACAGCCCAAAGAGGAGACGTCGGCCCCCATTCCTATGGGCTTGCCACTTGTGGAAGGAGCCTTAGCCTCCGGGTGTTTTGTGAGATAGGCAGTAGTCGAAGGTAGGGTACCAGGCCCCTTGATACAAGCTTCTAGGTCCCTGTATGACCGGTGTCGGTGCTCGGGCTGCGTTGCCGGCAGTAAGTCGGGCTCGTTCCCGGTGAGAGTGGACTCCGCCAAGGCTGCTCTTTGTCACCGATTCTGTTCATAACCTTTATAGGCAGGATTTCTAGGCGCAGCCAAGGTGTGGAGGGGATTGGTGCTGTGTCTGCAGCGATGCAGGCATTGTACCGGTCTGTTATGGTAAAGAGAGCTGAGCTGGAAGGCAAAGCTCTCCATCTGCGGTCTACGTTCGTACCCTCATCAATGACCACGAGCTTTGGGTAGTGATGGAAGTGAGACCGCAGATAGAAGTGGCCAAAATGAGTTCTCTGTACAGGGTGTCTGGACTCTCCCTTAGAGATAGGGTGAGACGCTTGGTCATCCAGGAGGGGCTCGGAGTAGACCGGCTGCCCCTCCACATCAAGAGGAGCCAGTTGAGGTGGCTCAGGCATCTGATTGGAATGTCTCCTGGATGCCTCCCAGCTGAGGTTATCTGGGCACGTCCAACCGGGAGACCTAAAGGTAGACCCAGGACATGCTGGAGGGACTATGTCTCTCACCTGTAAATCAGTCAACGGGGCAGTCTGCCATACACAGTTGAAGAAGAAGCTCAAGTCTAAATCCTTCAGAGTTGATGCTTAAGCCGTTTTAAACGAGCACCACCTTGAGCCGCTGCCATCTTTGTGGGTTATTCTCTGTTGAAGCTCTGCTGTTATCGTATTAAAAACAAGCTCTATTGTGAATATGCTAAGCAGGGGCGTAGCACCAAATTCTGGGCCCTAGGTACAAGTCTTCTAGGTGGGCCCCCATGCTCAATTACTTAATATCTCTCTTACACATTTTTTGTCATGCTATAAGACAAGATAATAAATATGATCTTAGTTTAACCTCTATATTGAGCAAATACAAATGCCAGCATAATAAAAGTGAAATGCCCAGACTTCACATATAATTATTTTTATTTGCCAACAATGTGTTCAAACAAAAATCCTGGAATTTATTTTCCAGTAAATGCCCACTGACGGGTCTTCATGTTAGCAAAATCACTTATGAGATCTTTAAAGTCCAATCCTTTGGCTAAATGGCTTTCAATAGAAAGAAGAGCTAGGCTGTTCAGTCTATCCTGGGACATTGTTGATCTCAAATAATTTTTCACCAGTTTCAGTTTGCTAAAAGCCCGTTCACCCCCCAGCAACAGTCACAGGTAGTGTGCAAAAAATCCTCAGTCCAATACAAACTTCTCCAAAAATGCTCTGTAATTGCATCCTGTATGGCATTAAGCAGCTCAAGAGGAGACTGAATGTGTGGAAATGTGGCACCATATATTGTTCTCAGGTGTAGCATCTCATTCTCAAATTCAGCTGTGAGATCCTTGTAATATTTTCTCATCAGTGCCTGGCATGATATCTTCATCTGCTCTTCAGTCATGTCTGTCATGGTTCATGATGTTAAGCTTTGCTGATATGTATTGATATATTAAATACATAGGACATGAAATAAACCAGGTTCTCTCTGTGAATGTAATGTACTCTAAATTTTATAATCCCTCCATTATCAGCCAAATTATGAGATTGTCCGTTTTCAAGATCAAATATAAAGAAATTTAAAATAGGCTTAAAATATCTAACCAAGTCAATAACAATCCTCTAACACCAGTGTCATCATGCTATACGAAAAACAGTGGCAGCTTCACATTCCTGAGATTACCACGAATCCATCAATACCAAGTTTGTCCTGGTCCATGACTGGGAAGGAGCTGAAATATCCACACAGAGTAAACCCGTTTTTACTGCGAGGTCCGCGAATTAATTGGCGGCGGCCGTCCGCAATAATAGTTCTGATTAATATATATATATATTAATTAGTGTTATCACTGATAACACTAATTAATTTATATTTGATCTTGATGGTGAAACTAAAGGCGTTTAACACTGAACACCTAACATGAATGCAGCTTCTGAGAGCTAGCTAATATCAGCTAAAACTGTGTTCTGCTGCTGCTCACCTTCCTTCTTGAAGACCCTAGTCAATACTTGCTTCTGTTCAATTAACTTTTTCTCCTTCTTTTCTGGAAGCCAGATTTCCCTTTCTTGGGAAAAGACATGACTGACTCTCCTGCCTCCAGCTCTGGCTGTCAGCATCTGCGATGTCTCATTAGCTGTACATGCGGCTGTGCAGCCCCTGGCCGCTGGTGTGGACTAAACCACTTTGCACATTTTTAAGGGGTGATAGATGCCTCAGAGATTATTCAGTTATTATTTTAAGGCGAAATTCTGTTTCTTAACCTCTTTATCCAGGTAAAGGGAAGTTTATTAAGACATTAAGTAAGTTGGGGGGAAAAAACAACAACAATAAAACATTTTTATTCAAAGCTGTCTCAGGGCCCCTCCCTGCAGTGGGCCCTGGGTAAACAGTACCCTTCCCCCCCCCAGTCCGACGCCCCTGGTGCTAAGCCCACCCAATGTCTCTCTACAAACATTGAGAGCTGTGATTGGCCTGACGTAAAATTGTTTGCACCAATGGTGAACCTGCTGAGGCTACAATGGAGAGTGGCCAGACCATCCTGTAGGCCAACATCTTTTGCCACTGGTAGAGGTCTAGACTAGATCAAGAGCTTATTTTGCCCATCAAATGTTGCCCTTACAGACTAATAGTAACACTTTAACAGTAATTTAATTTAATGATGTAATACGAAACATAAAATTGCCAAACTGGTGACTTTCATTTCTAAAAATGGTCACGAAGGGGTTAGTCATGTGGTAATTCTGCTGAGTTGTTGTTGTAATTTAATACAACTGCTTCTCATTAGAGCAAACTCCAGAATTCACAAGGAATTTATGAAAAATTTAACTGTTAGTTGGATTACTGTGAAGTCCATGTGAAGACAAAAATGACTATTTGTTAGAAGATATTTTATTGTCTTAAGAAGCTTTCAAATCAATGTGATGTTTAGTTATTTTAATGCTAGAGAAGGTTTTGATCTATTTTATTTAATAAAAAAAATCAGGTAAAAGATGCATCTAGGAGACAAAAGTCTGTCAGCAAATGACAAACGTGACAGTAAATCAGTGTGTGTGTGTGTGTGTGTGTGTGTGTGTGTGTGTGTGTGTGTGTGTCCGGCTGCTAGCGAGGTCTGTGGGCCAGCTGGCCAGCGTTCTGGCAGCACATGGATGTGTGTGGTCGTCTGACGAGCCGCCTGGCAGCATATTAATCTGTGTATCGGCTGTTCTGTGGGAGGTGAGAGTGGCAGAGGCTTTAACACTCGGCACACACAGTTGACAGAGCAGATCTCGGCACAGTCTCTGGGACAGATGCTAAGATAATGTGCTTTGGAAACAGGACGGCGCCGACAGCACTGCGCTTACTGTCGAACACGGAGGCTGCTAGACTTTGAGTCATTGAGTTGAAATCTTCAAGAAGCTTTTATTTTTAAATACCAGCTCAGGATTTTGATGATTATAGAGGCGTTTTAGGCCTGCAGGGTTTATGTGAATGTCGTCTCCAAACAAATATTTGGTTGCTTTTCCTGATTTTCAACAAACTATTTCTGAAAACTGGATTTAAAGTCATCAGCTAACTTAACCGTTTAGTCTTACTGGCTTGTTAAGTTGCTTTATTATTGCATCTGAGGGCTATGAGTCGGTTTTGGTTGGATGGAATTGCTAACATGGTATGATATGCTAACAATTCTTTTTTTATCCTGAACACATAAGCTTCTCTGAACTGACGGCACGGAGGGTTTTATTCAAAGCCAGCATCTTTTTTTTGTTGCCATGTGGGTCTCTACTCCCTACATAAATGCTCCAAACTCAATAAATAAAATCCATCCATTTTCTCTCAGTGTTTTGAATTACATGCCTAAAATGAACCATTTCAAAAAGTTTCTGTTTGTGATGTCACAAAAGGGGACATTTGAATAGAACCACCTCTCAGCTCAGCTGCTGCTGGAGGAGCAGTGGCTGTACTCTGAGCTGCTCCCGATATCAGAGCTTCTCAGCCTATAGCAGTATGAATGAGGGATGGGTGGGCGTGGCCAGCTTCAGCTTAACAACAGAGCCCTCAAACGGCTCATTCTGGAAATAGACTGAAATCGTCAAGAATAAAGCTGCTGAGATTTAGGTGAGGGATTCAATGAAAATAATTTCATGAACAGGCTTTTTTTAAGACCACAGCACTATTGTAACTTAAGAAAAAAGTCATCATATGTTTCCTTTAAAGTTCTAAACTGTTCTTCTGCAGGTGTCCTGTGGAACCTGTCCTCCTGTGACGCGGTGAAGATGACCATCATCCGAGACGCTCTCTCCACGCTCACAAACACGGTGGTGATCCCCCACTCCAGCTGGAGCAGCGTTTCCCACCGAGACGATCACAAAGTCAAGTTCCAGTCCTCGCTGCTGCTGCGCAACACCACTGGCTGTCTGAGGTACGGCTGCAATCCCAGCAGCTTTTTGTAAGGTTTCAAATTCGAAGGTTTTCACCATCATCAGGGATTAGGCTTCATTTTACTTTGATGAATAGAAATTTTACGCTTTGAAAAGGGAGAAAATGAAAGCTCTGAAACAAGAATCGCCCTCTTGTTTAAACTTTTAACTGTTGTTAGTAATGAAACAGTCCTTTTCACCTGCTGGGATCCCAGGTTTACTACAGGGACTGATTCAAACATTAAAACTCCTGGATAGTTCTGGATCTTTGTCTTGATTCTTTTTTTAAAAGCTGCTGTAAAATCGGAGTTGTAATCCATCAGTCTGCAAGGAGGTTTTATGCAGTTTTAAAGAATAAAAAGCAGCAGAGTGAATGTGCAGGTTTAGATCTTGGCTGACAGAGGAGAAGGTGGATGGTTTGACACATGAATTTAGTTTATTTGAAGTTTTGTTTCATCAGATCAGCACCAAAAGTGATGAAATGAGACGAATTCTGCAGTTTGCGGGGAAAATGCATCAACTTTAAATGCACAGAAGGCTCCAGCAGCCTCCATCACTCATGCTGATGGTATAGAAACGCATTGTGGGAGCTCTGTGCTCTTATTGGAGGATGTGCTCCGTCCTTTTCAGCTGTATCCGGGCAGGTTTTTGAGCCACCCTGTGGGGGAATCTGCTCACTGCACCGCCCGTCCATCTGAATGTGTTTGTGTTTGTGTGGAGGAACCTGAGCTCAGCGGGGGAGGAGGCGAGGAGTCAGCTGCGCTGCTGCGAGGGTCTGGTGGACTCGCTGCTGCACATCCTCAGAGCCTGCGTCAACACGTCCGACTACGACAGCAAGGTGCAGCAGAAACACGCTAAACCCAAAGCATCCCAGGGTAGTCACGAGGAGTTTCAGCCGTTTATTCAGAAACACACAAAGTCAGACTGTGCACATCAGAGGTCGTGACCCTCACCGGCTCGAGGAACAAGCTGCTTCTCAGCTCAGTCGGGTGACCAGGTGATGACCGGACCCAATAAAATACAGAGAAGTTGATCTTAAAGAGACGGACGTGCGAAAAGGTTTGTTAGCAGTTCATCTCTGAACAGCCTCAGTTCGCAGAAACATAGATTAGAGAAACAGTTAGCCTGGACAGGGCCACATGTCTTAAAAAACTTCAGTCTCTATTTCACGGAAGTTTATTTCAATGCTGTTTTCATTAACCTGTGAAGAGGACATCAGCTTTTGCTACTTATTTCATTCTGTTTAAATTAGACTTGTTATTATTTAGTACGATGAGATAGAAATGAAACAAAAAAGTCTTTTTCTCTCACTGAAATTGATTCTGTGTATTTCCCTGGCGATAGGGGGCAGTGCATACCTAAATCATTGCTAGCAAGTATTTTTGTGTTAGAATAAGATCTTACCAACAGATGGCCATTAGGGTCAAAAATCCCTGGGAGAACAACCTCCAGCAAAACGACAAGCAGACATGACTCCCTTTCATCACTGCCAACGAGTGAAGAGGTAAACATGTAAAACAACATTTCTGAAAGGCAAAAGTTTAGTAACTGCTGGCTACAGATCAGTAAAAGCGTTTTGTCCTCACGGGCTCCTGTGGAAGGAAACGTTGTGTCTAATATAATGTCTTCCAGTGACTTAGACCCGCTCCCACGTGTGTTAGACCTTTTTATGGTTATATGTTACAAATCCGCCTGGGCATCATTTAATTAATTGTGAACAACATTTTGATGGGGATACATTCATGTGGGCTACTTTCCCCTGGATGCAGGACATTTTTATAATTGACAGTAAAACATGGTAAAAAGCTCCAAATTGTAGATTTTCTATCATATGTTGCCTTTGAGAAAATATTAGACCATTAAAATTTTTCCATTGAACTAATAAAGTTCATGTCTTGTATATTTATGAAACACTTAGGGGACGTTTAACACTAACAAGTGACTTAAACAGCACAGAGTGAACAAGTAAAAAAACAATATTTGAAAGGGCTGAAAGCGTCCCGCGACATAAAATATGAATGAAATTAATCAAATGTGTAAAAACAGTCATGTAAAAAAGACATAAAGCAACATTAACTTTACTCATTCGCTGCCAGCGTTTCTCACCATTTTTACTGTTTTTTTAAGAGTCACAGAACGTTGCGGGCTAGGATGATGTCGACGCCAAAACAACCAAAACAAAGAGGAGACTCACCTCTTACATCAGGAAGAATCCGCGCGTTTCGAGCGTTATCCGTTCTTTCATAATCCGTTGTTGAATTGTGATCGGCAGAAGCTTTTCCGGTTCGCTCCTCACTTTTTTTACAGCAGCGGCCCAAAACGATCTCCTAACACATGGATGTTCTGCTTCCTGATCACGTGACGTGTGACGTACGTGGATGAAGATCGGCTTTAGAGCTTAGATGTTTGTTGTCAAGGTGCGGGGGCTCGTTCCGACGCCCACACAGTAAAAACATGCTTTAGTCATCATTGGCAGTGAATGAGTTAACTAAAATCATAAAAAAGCCAAGAAGTAAAGATGATTTTAATGCTACACATTTGTTTTCATTAGATTTTAAGATTACTTCACAGCATAATGTGTTTCAGAGTCATCGTATTTCTGCTGCTTTAATTGTGCAGTTATAAAATGTTTGTATGAGTTCATGTTAGGGTCAGGGTTCGATTACATTTAGGGTTGAAGTTCACTCTGTTAACACTAATATAACCATTTTAAATCTACACAGTTTTGCACATAGAAGCCTGTGGGAGTTAGCTTCAGCGCTAGCTACAGCAAAACTCCTAAATAACAGGAAGTGGGGAAAATAAATGTAAACTTTATAAAATAGCTTTGGCACAAATGCAGTTTGTCTTTTCAATAGGAACCAATCTGTGTTTCTCCAAACTGAGGCTGGATCTACAGAAGCCCTGTTAAAGACAAATTAGACAAAGCTCAAGTTTTTCTTTACTATGTATAAATAGTGATAGAAAATTTTAGCTGATGTTACAATTTTTTTGGATATTAGTATTGTTTAAGAATATAATTAAACAATTATTTGTTTTTATTATTTCATTCAGATAAAAAAAAACTTATGTTGAATCTGGGATCAGGAAGATAGCTTTACAGTTTAAAAATAAATAGGAATTGTGTTTGTAAATTTGTCATAAACTTTGTATCAACACTAAAGTGTGTGTTGTGAATGTAATGTTTGTTGGGGCTGCAGATAGTCAACCAAACTTTAAATAAAGGCAAATAACTGACATCCATTTAAATGTATTTACATTAAACGGTCTTCCTTTGCAGTAGCACCCCCTAGTGGTTACATAAAAATCTTTTAGAAGTTTTCGTCTTGATATTTTTCTTCATTCTGCTTACAGAGATATAAATTATTCCCATCAATTAATGTTGTTGAAAAGTCCTTCATACATTAAAACCACCAGAAAGTTTCAGCTTAGACTTCCAGGACACCTGAAAGTGAGACAATGGAGTCCACCAGGCAAAAGTTGTGATTTTACTGTTTTAAAAACAATTAGAAAATTCTGTCCAAATGATTTAAGTTTGTCTAAAAATAAAAATCTGGTTTCAAACTTGTCTTTTTTGAGACTTCCTGTTTTTGTTGTTAAGTGACTGATTATTTGTCTTTCAGATCGTGGAGAACAGCGTCTGCACCCTGAGGAACCTCTCATACCGGCTGGAGGTGGAGATGCCCTCTTCTCGTCTCCTTGGCAACCAGGAGCTGGACACCCTGCTGGGTTTCTCTTCAACAGCCAAGGAGCTGGACTACCTGTGCTGGGGCAAAAGGAGGCGTGGCAGGAAGAGGAGCGGCTGGCCTGATGGGAAGGTAGGGTTAGGGTTACCTCAGAACCAGAGGGTTCTAAGGGTTAGAAACACGTTCTCTAACTGTTCTGCTTCGTTTGGTGCAGTGGGATGGTCTTGGACCGGTCCCAGGTTTCTCCCAGTCGCTGAGAGGAGCGGAGCTGCTGTGGCACCCGATGGTGGTGAAGCCGTATCTCAACCTGCTGGCTGAGAGCTCCAATCCTGCCACCCTGGAGGGTGCTGCCGGGTCCCTGCAGAACCTCTCCGCTGGAAACTGGAAGGTAGGAATTTCAGATGAGACGGATTCAGGAACCGGAGGTTCTCAATTGGCCAGAGGGTTCAGGTGGAGGCTGTCAGGGTTTGGCGTGATTTTTGGAGATGCTTCACTTCTTAATATGCTCTAAAGGAGCTATCAAGTAGCTACCAAAGCAAAAACTCACCAGTTTTTATGAGTTTTTTAGATGCCTCCAAGGCTTTCGATCGTGTGAACCACAGAAAATTATTTCATAAACTGTGGAAAGCTGGCGTGCCTAAGTACATAGTTAGATGTTTGTCATTTTGGTATACAAACCAGACCATGTGGGTCAAGTGGGCCGACTGTGTATCTGCACCTTTTCAGGTCTGTAACGGAGTAAGACAAGGGAGCATCTTAGCACCGGCATTGTTTAATTTTTATATGAACGATCTGTCTAAACAGTTAATTCAGTGTAGAGCTGGCTGTATGGCAGGAGGTACAGTAATAAATCATCTGATGTATGCTAATGACATAACAGTATTTAGCCCAAGTTCAGCTGGTCTTCAGGAGCTTCTTGATGTGTGCTCTGAGTTTGGTGAACAGCACGATGTTGAATTTAATCCTGCAAAAAGTATAATCACGATCTGTCGAACTAAAGAGGACAAATGGATCAGATTTCCTGACTTGATGCTATCTGGCTCTATTTTAGGTCATGTGTTGACAGACAACCTGTCAGATGATGAGGACATTTATCATCAGTGCCGAATGTTATACGCACAAGCTAATGTACTGTGTCGTAAATTTGGATATTGCTCTGTTAACGTCAAACTGAACTCGTTTAGAGCTTACTGTACCACATTGTGCACAGCACATTTATGGTGGAACTATAAAGCAGCCAGTATCCAGAGACTGCAGGTGGCTTACAACGATGCATTAAGACTTCTGGTAAAAAAGCCCAGATGGACCAGTGCTAGTGAACTGTTTGTTTCTGTCAAGGTCAGCACATTGAAAGCTGTTTTAAGAAATGTTATGTATAAATTTATATGCCGTCCTAATATGTCCATGAACAGTGTCATCCTAACTCTGACTAATACCAGATACAGTGCTGTACGCTACACCTGTAATCTATGGAAGCACTGGTATGACTGTCTCTTGTAGGATACTTTTCTTCTTTTAACGAGTTTGTCGTTTTATTTTTAACGTCACCTTTGTATATTTTTTTATGTATTTTTTGGAACGTGAGTCTGCAATAAAGGCTACTACTACTACTACTACTACTACTACTACTACTACTACTACTACTATAACTTAACACCTCTCTGGTGTTTGTTTACAGTTCTCCACCTACATCCGAGCAGCTGTTCGTAAGGAGAAGGGTTTACCAATCCTGGTGGAGCTGCTGAGGATGGACAACGACCGCGTCGTCTGCTCTGTCGCCACCGCGCTACGAAACATGGCACTGGATGGCCGCAACAAGGAGCTGATAGGTACACACACACACACACACACACACACACACACACACACACACACACACACACACACACACACACACACACACACACACACACACACACAGAGAGATCCCAACTCACCTGTGAAAGTGTAAAAAAGATCAACTTCACACTTCAGGCAGAAGTTTTTGAATCTATGTTGCCCCCTTGTGGTGAACAAAACAAGAACACTTTTTAAGACATTTTTTGGAAACACTCAACACGCACAACTGTTCACCATCAGACACTAACCCTAACAGACTCACAACCGGCAGATGCTCTAAAAGCACCAAAAGAACGTAAGGATCCAGAAGGTGAATGCTGCCTCTGCTCCTGTAGGAAAGTACGCCATGCGGGATCTGGTGAACCGTCTGCCAGGTGGGAGTCCCTCTGTGTTGTCCGATGACACGGTAGCGTCGGTCTGCTGCACGCTGCACGAGGTCACCAGCCGCAACATGGAGAACGCCAAAGCTTTAGCCGACAGCGGAGGCATCGAGAAGCTGGTGGACATCAGCAAAGGACGAGGGAAAGGGTACGAAACGGGTCTCTGGCTTTGAGTTGACTCCAGTTTTGCTGCTCCATTGAACTAAATATTGGGTCTGAGTTGCAGGTACTCGATGAAAGTGGTGAAGGCAGCAGCTCAGGTGTTGAACACACTGTGGCACTACAGGGAGCTGAGGAATCTCTACAAACAGGTGAGAACTGGTTTCACCAATGAAACCTCTGCATGTTTTCATCAGTTTTACTTTTATAATGTCCTTCACTGTGTGGACAGGATGGATGGAACTACACTCACTTTGTCACCCCCGTCTCCACTCTGGAGCGGGACCGCTACCGCTCTCAGCCCACCCTACCCACCAGCCCCCTGCAGATGTCCCCCGTCATCCAGTCAGGTGTGAGCTCTGTCCATTTAGTCTCAAATTACAATAAACCGGAAGCATGTTTACCTCTAATCAGTTGTTTTTTTAGGAGGGAAATTAGGACTCGAAAACACCAAGACATTCTCACCAAACTTTGATTTCTGCAGTTTCTGCCTTTTTCATTTTGGTAAAATCTGTTTCTTTGTTCCTAAATTCTCCAGGTGGAAGTGCAACATCTTCGCCTGCGATGCTCGGTATCAGAAGACACAGCTCAAACTACCAGAGAGCACAGTCATCTATGCAACTTGACACATATTATGGAGACAGTTTACAGAAAAGGCAGTATACAGGTGTGTGGAGAGGAGTCCCTCAGGGATGTATACTCAGGGATGTATACTCAGTCCCCTCGTGTTTGCTGCTAACAATAAATAAAAACAATATTCTTTATTTTACATTTTCATTGTTAGGGTTGGAGAATAAAACTCCATATTTTATTGGGACTTACTCCTCCCAGTCAGGAGAGGACCTAAGAAGATCCCATGTAAGAAAATCTAACTGGGATGCATTAAAAAGTTGTTTATTTCTGTATTAAAGCTGTTTGTATTTTGCCTCAGCATCCAGAGCCATTCTACGACGAACCTGACAGGAAAAACTACAACAGCTACAGAATGTACCTGTCATCTCCGCAAGGTTACGGTGAGGAGCGCTACGAGGACGAACCAGTCCAACTGACCCCGTCCTCACCAGACGGCTATGCCAGCCAGTCGCTCCGATTCAAAGCCAACACCAACTATGTGGATTTCTACTCTACGACGCGGAGGCCTTCAAACAGGGCAAACAAGTTCACCGGCTCTCCCGACTCCTGGGTATAGATACAAAAACGGACACAGTGTGCTTTACAGTGTGTTTCTGTGTGTGTGTGTGTGTGTGGGGGGGGGGGGGGGGGGGTGCACATGTGTGGATGGTTGAGGATGCATGTAGACGTGTGCATTCATGTTGAAACTGGGCTTAAGGACCAGGACTTGATTTGCTTTTTGCAGCTTTTGACTAAGTCAGAGAAGTGCTAAAAAGACAAAATTAAATATTCATTAGTTTTGAATTTTGTTTTAATCAGAGAAGGGGGGGGGGGGGGGGGGGGCATAGCTGTAAGAAGTCAGCACCAGACAGCAGAGTTAAGTAAACTGGATTCATTTAGAGAAATCTTTTTAGATGGACGTTTTTGACATTTACGCGATTATTTAACAACATGTTCGTACGACAGAGTCTGTGTAATACCTACGTGTATTACACAGACTCTGTCACGAACATCTGACTGCCACAGAGCCAAGATGAAAACAGACGCAATGGGTCAGTGAACTCCAACTGGCGGCTCGCGAGCCACATCCAGCCCGCAAGACCTCTCCACCCAGCCCCCCAACCTTTTGGACCCTAACGCCCTCCCAGCTGCAGGATTTTGACGTTTAGCAGCAAAATTCATGTCCGAATTATCAATAATTGTTTACGTTCTACTAACACAACTACAATCAAAACTGTTTAGATGGAAAACAAAGCCACTATTATTACTATTAATAAATGAAGATACAATAATACTTGAGCTTTATTTTAGAAGAGCATCTAACCCTCACCCCTGCAATAGGCAACACAACTAGTAAAAGGTATTCTGACACTTTGACTCAGAAAACTGTTGAAGCCATTGACTAGATTCATAACGTTTATTTTTCCAAGACCCGGTCAATTCCTCACTAAATGAGGGTGGTTCTCGTTAACTCTATCAGAAACTAATAAACTCATGTTCTACGTGTTCGAGTTCTGCTCCCTGTGTCAGTTAGCTGGCTCCCCGTGACCGCTGCTCTCCACCGGATGCATGAGTGTCGCAAGATGTCTGCAAAGCATTTGTGAAGCGGAATACGCAAACAATAGCTGCCGTTACAGTCATTGGCTTTGTTTCCATTGCTCAGAAGTAAAGTGTTGCATCACTCTGACAAATTTACCCTTCAGGTCTATTTTTTTACACTCTACATTTCCAGAACGCATTAAGCAGCAATTCAGGCCAGACAGGAAGTCAAACATGGGAGCAGTGTAAAACATCTGGATATTTTCAAATTAAAAGACGCGTGCAGATATCCAGTTGCTAAAAGAAAACATTATTTTTGACAGCTCCTTGGCGGAGGTAAAAAGAATAGAATACTGCCATCTTTTTATTTGCTTATCATGTGCAATTCCCTGGTGATTCGGTGACTTTGCAGGACCAGTTGTGTGGAACGCTTTAGCCGATGATTTACGTCTGAAACACTCCCAGTGGGAAGGAATGCACTGCTGAGGTTGAGCAGAAATGCGTCTATTATGTTACGCGCCGCTTACGCATCCAGTGGAAATCCCGGTTGAGTATTTCTCTATGCTGATCATGACCACTCCACACAACCTCATGTAAAAATAAACCAAACGATCAGATAAATCTTTAAAATAAAAAAAAATAAAACTTTGCCCAATTTCTATTTATTGGTTTTAGAAATGATGTACTAAGGTTGGGCGTATTTGCGTCATTTTATTCTAATTTTCCATTTAGTCCCAAACAAGCTTAGTCAAAAGGTGCTTTTTGAAAGGTGAAAAGAAGAAAACAGCCCTGATGTCACTGTTTACTGGAGTGTTTGTTCATGTTAACTGAATCTGTTTACTCAGCAGTAAAAATGTGCAACGTGTTGGCTCTATAACATAGATATCGTCTGCCACCATCACTTTGAATGCGAGGGAGAAACATTAGTGTTTAGCAGTGAGTCGTGTTTTATCCCGAGAGGAAAGAAGACATGCATCCTCACTCTCAGAAACCTCTAAACACGCACAACTGCTTCATGTTGGACATCATAAAAATTATGTGAAATATGTGGAAAAAAGAGAACATTTATTTGTACAGATAAAATGGATTGTCTTGTTACATTGTTGTATTCAGTATGTAGAACTTTCTATGTGATCGTGTGCAGAATTTTTTCTATTATTTGATTGCTTTCTTTTTATAATTTACATGTGACCCAACCAAAAAAAACCTCATCTGTCTCTTCTGTTGGAAAATGATAATGTGCAATGTTACAAAGGAGAAATAAATGTATAGGGATTAAATATAACACTTCACATTTGGGTTGTCACCATTTATTTATGGCCCAAGTTACTAATGTGGCTAACTTGTATTGGTCAACTTACTTCTTCTTTACTTGGTCATGTAACTTAGAGGCCAGATGATCAACCCGGCCAGTTTCTTCCATCATTGGTCAAGCTGCTTATATTGACCCCGTGAAGAAAATTCCATCTTGGCACCATTCAGTAAGCACAACCCCCCCACATTAACCTCTTAGTAACCCAGTGAGGGAATCAGACCCCCTCCCCGACTCTGTTTAGAGCAGATTCAGTGATCCAGGTACCAGTCCAGAAGCATTTTCACCAGTTGGAGAATTATGAACACCAACAATCCCACTACGACACCAGCACCATTCACACTTGATGATTTGATGCAATACGTCAACTCATCATTTTTAGCTTTTTTTTTTTTCTTAAAAACATCAGACATAAGATTTAAACCCACACCCTCCACACTATAAGTCAAATATCCTACTCTAAGGTACACGAGCAGACACGTTTGACTAGTTTATTAGAGCTTTTCATATTCTCATAAAGTCTCAAATAAACTTCTATGATTATAACGGACAACTAATGAAAATGTTTATGTATTTAGCAGATGCTTTCGTCCAAAGCGACTAACAAGTGATAATGAAGCCAGCAGGTTGCCTTTGAGGCTAACAACAAACCCTAATCAGTCAGTCCTCTGAACACGTCAAGTGGTCTCTCTATTTCCATTCTTACAAACTGTTTGAGGGAGATCAAGACCTGGATGACTGAAAATTTTCTGAGCCTAAATGATCAGAAAACAGAGGCTATATTGTTTGCTCCAAGCATACATTGTGACTCTTCCCTAACTGACTGTGGGTCATTTAATGGCCAGCTGTCTACATCGGTGACTAATCTTGGTGTTAAACTGGATAGCGCCCTTAGTTTTGATACCCATATCAATGGAGTGATCTCCTCCTCCTTTTCCACCTTCGTCGGCTGGCAAAGATCAAACCATTTCTGTCACGTCATGATCTTGAGACGGTGGTCCATGCTTTTATTACGGTGCGATTGGACTACTGCAACTCTGTTCTATTCGGTGTGAGCAAGGGCTCAATAGCCAGGTTGCAAATGGTCCAGAATGCTGCTGCCAGATTTTTAGAGGGCAGGCGCAAGTTTGACCACATAACTCCTGTCCTGGCTGCGCTTCACTGGCTGCCCGTTGATGTTAGGATTCATTTTAAAATACTTTTACTAGTTTTTAAAACGTTAAATGGTTTAGCCCCTCCTTACTTGGTGTCACTACTTCAACCATACACCCCTTCATGGTCACTCCGCTCGGAGAACTTCATGCTCCTCTCGGTCCCAAGAACGCGCCTAAAGACGCGTGGTGATAGGGCCTTTGCTGTGGTAGGTCCTAAGCTTTGGAATAAGATTCCTCTCAGCATAAGGGCCTCTAACTCTGTTGCGGTTTTTAAGGCAAGGCTAAAAACATATTTTTATGACCTGTCTTTTAACCTCTCTAACTAGTTTTATTGTTTTACTTATAGCGATTTTACTCACTGTAGTTTTATCTGTATTGTGTGATGCAATGTTTTATTTTCTGGACTTACTGTTTTATGTTTTTATTTGATCAGTGTAGCGCCTTGGTGGCATCTTTTTGCCTGTAAGGCACGATTTATAAATAAAGTTGAGTTGAGTTGAAGTTGAGTCCTAGGTGGCAGTGAGGCAGCAGAATGAGTCATAAAGGGAAGTGAACAAGGTGTGGACAGTAGAGTGGGGGACAGGTGCAGGGAGAGTCCTAGTTTAGAAGATGCTCTCTGAAGGCTGGGTCTTCAGGAGTTTCTTGAAAATCAGCAAGGACATCCCGTGTTCTAGTAGTGCTTGGTAGGTCATTCCACATCTGTGGAACAACACACAACAACAAAATCACAAATTCAGCATCTCAGAAAATCACAATATCAATTAAGAGCAGCGGAAAAAAATTGTTTTTGAAATGTTGGCCAACTGAAAAGTATGAACACGTACAGCACTCAATGTTTAGTTGGGGCTACTTTGGCAGGGTTACCATGGTCCTTAACCCTCCCACTGTCTTTATGGGTGACCCCGTGAGGAAAGTTGACCATTGAGCAGGACTGATGGTTTATCCCTTGAGGTACACGTGGCAGGGGTGAGGTTGTGCCCACTCCTCACCCCTGCCACATGGACCCAAGGGATAAACCATCAACCCTGCTCAATGGTCAACTTTCCTCATGGGGTCACACCCATTAGGACAGTGGGAGGGTTAAACCAGGTACTGGTCGCTTTGGCACTGTGTGCAGGTGCCAAGTTCTGTTGGAAAAGGAAATCTGCATCTCCATAAAGTTGGTCAGCAGCAGGGAGCATTAAGTGCTCTAAAACTTCCTGGTAGATGGCTGCGTTGACCTTTGACCTTAGAAAACACAATGGACACCAGCCGATGAAACGGCTCCCCAACCCATCACTGACCGTGGAAACTTTACACTGGACCTCAAGTAATGTGGATTCTGAGTCTCTCCTCTCTTCCTCCAGACGCTGGGATGGTGATTTCCAAAGCAAATGCTAAATTTACTTTCATCAGAGAACATAACTTTGGACCACTCAGCAGCAGCCCAGTCCTTTTTGTCTTTAGACCAGGTGAGACACTTTTGGTGCCATCCCTTGTTCAGGAGTGGCTTGACACAAGGAATGCGACAGCTGAAACCAGGCCTTTACAGTAATACATCTGTGTGTGGTGGTTCTTGAAGCACTGACTCTAGCTGCAGTCCACTCTTTGTGAATCTCCCCCACATTTATAAATGGGTTTTATTTCATAGTCCTCTCCAGGGTGTGGTTATCCATATTGTTGTACACTTTTTCTACCACATATTGTCCTTCCTTTCATCTCTCTCTTAATGGACTTGGTTACACAGCTCTGTGAACAGCCGGCCTCTTTAGCAATAACCTTTTGGTGTCAATGGTCGTCTGTTATCCAGCTGTCTCGACATTGATCTTCCCCATGATTGTGTAGCATATAAAATGAGAGTGAGAGACCATTTGAAGGCTTTTGCAGGTGTTTGCAGTTAATTAGCTGATTAGAGTGTGGCACCAGGGGTCTTCAATATTTAACCTTTTCAGGATATTCTAATATTCTGAGATACTGAATTTGGGATCTTCATTAGTTGTCAGTTATAATAATCAAAATAAAAGAAATAAACACTAGAAATATACCAGTCTGTGTGTTATGAATGAATCTAATATACAAGTTTCACCTTCTGAATGGAGTTACTGAACTTTGTCATGATATTCTAATTTATGACCAGCACCTGTATGTGGATCCAAAAATCACTAAAGAAACAAGAGTTTGCAGGTAAAGTGTACTGAAATTCCTATCTAGTACACTGAATTAATAATTCATAAAAAAAAACTTTTTTAATGTTTTGGGATTGATGTTTGTTTTGTCGTTTTAAACTGTTTAATAATATTCACAGAATTCAAATGGACTCAGAACAAGAAGTACTCAAGTTCTTCAGAGTTCTTCCTGTTTATACGTCACACATTTCAAGTCTCATTAAATAGATTTTTTTGTAAAGTCCATTGCTAATTTTGACACTTGATTTTCACATCGGACTCTCGAGTTTTCTAACACAAAGCTGTTATGATTTTAGGAAGAATATGTATCAGGTTGTTGGTGGATTTGATCCCTCACCACCAGATCTCCATCCCTTCCCCTTACTGCTTGAGCTATTCTACCAAAAGAATCATTTTAAAAATTGTTTTTAAATGTTAACGTGACAGATTTAACTTCTAAATGCCATTCAAACAAAATTTTGCTCAAACCTGAAGTAGCTAAACTGAAGTTAGTTTTAGTTTTGTTACTTTTTTTATGTTTCTGTTTAGTATTAAGGAGAATAAGTACAATTTTAAATGAATACTAATTAGTCAGCCTTGATTTTAGAAAAAGTTTAAACTTTTATTCACATATCAGAAAATGTTGGTAAATCCAAGGTTAACTGTGTAACACGCCTTCAGCATCCTCCTGGTGACCTCCGAATGACACAAAAATAAACAAAATAAAAATACATTAAATAATTTCACTCCAGATTCACACACTCACTGTTTGAAGAACTTAAAAAAGGACTACCGGTACTTGTTTGAAGAAAGCATTTTATAATGAAAATATAAGTAAATGCTTATTTTCATCTTCCACATATGGTTTAAGTTGTAACAGGCTTTTGCTGCAAAGTCTTCATTGGCCATTCAGAAAACAAGAGAAATTCAAGTAAATCAGACATTGATAATAAATTACAGGGAACACAAACAAAACAAAAAATGTAACATCAAAAGTACAAATGATCAAATTTTGTATAAAAAGGTCTGTTGTGAAGGAGATTAATGCAGAAAGACCCAGACATAAAATAAATGTGATTAAATGGAATGCATAATGAATGTGTACTGTCTGTATGTGCCAAGAATACAGGTTGTGGCAACAATGTAAACAGGAAGTGCTAGTATTTAACTTGATGTAGTTCAAGCTGATGAAACGTATATAATGAAACTAATAGCTCTGACAAATATGTAATACTCTGCCACAGAAAAAAGTAAAAGCATCGTCTGTAATTTACCTTCTTACATTGAATCACATGATATAAAAACGCATCATACGGGGGACTACTTGTAAACTAATGTGTAAACAATTACAGCTTAATTTTTCTACATTTAGCTCCAAAAACAAATAAAGCAAAAAGCAAAAGTGAATCCTTTCTCCTCGCAATGGGTTCATCTTTTAAACACCTTAATCTAAATGCTGAAACATCTCCCAGCCTTCATTAGTGTCTACAGGAGATTCATCTCTAAATTAAACTAATCAGCTGTGTTTGTGATCTAAAACATGCAGGAAACGTGCTAGAACTACACTGCAGCGCCAGGTATGTCAGCTCCATTTTTTAAGTCCAACAGGTGGTGGCCAGCCAGTCTGAAGTTGCAAATGTGGTATTCTGGCCACAGAGAGCGGTGGGGTCTGAGTGACATTTCATAGGAAATCCTAAGACGTTCCCTGGCCAGCTGAGAGACATAGTCCCTCCAGCGTGTCCTGGGTCTTCCTTTTGGTCTTCTCCCGGTTGGACATGTGTGAAAAACCTCACCAGGCAGACGCCCAGGAGGCCTCCTAACTAGATGCTCGAACCACCTCAATTGTCACCTATCTATATGGAGAAGCAGCTGGTCTACTCTGAGCTCCTCCCAGATGTCAGTAAATAGGAACATAGATCAAATCTTCACCACGACAGACCGGTACAACACCTGGATCACTCCAGACGCAGCACTAATCCACCTGTCGATCTCGGACTCCATCTTTTTGAACAAAACCCAGAGATACTTAAACTCCTCCACTTGAGGCAGGACCTCTTCCCTGACTCTGAGGCTTTCCACCCTTTTGCGAAATGTATAATATAATTATAAAATTTAATGAAATCTAAAAATATAAAGTCTAAATTTCATTCCTCTCTAAATATTTAAATCTAAAGCTGTAGAACAAAATCAAAATATAGTTACATCTAAATATTGAATCTAAATATCACTTCTAAATGTTGGGAATTAAATGTAGTGGATTTAGAAATGAAATTACATGGTATTTCAAATGGCCATGATACAAAATAGCCTAGAAGAGGGTTTAGAGATCAAACAGATCTTTAAAGGAATACTTAGCAACTTTTTCATATTTTTACATCATTTTTTGAGCCACTATGTCCTAAAATGATCCGTTACAGCAAGGCTATTCAATCCCAGGTCTCGAGGGCCGGTATCCAGCACATTTTGGTTTTAACTCTGTTTCAACACAACTGATTTCGGTTGGTAGGTGATTAACAGGCTTCTGCAGAGCCTGATGAGCTACTGCACAGGTGATTCAACCACTGAATCAAGTGTGTTGAGCAGGAAAACCACTAAAATTTGCTGGATACCAGCCCTTCAGGCCTGGAATTGTATAGTCTTGCTTTACATTAATGAAAAGTCCCTCAGACACTCACCACCCCCTGTAGCCAGAATACCAGATTTGTAACTTCTAACTGGCAGGCCACTCTGTTGGGACATTGAGCTGACATACCTGCCGCTGCTGTCTGATTCCAGCCCATTTCCTGCATGTTTTAGATCATGAAGACAGCTGATTTGTTTGATTTAGTGATAAATCACTCCTGTAGACACTGATGAAGGCTGAGGAGACATTTCAGCTGTTAGATTAAGGTGTTAGAAAGACAAACGCACAGTGGAGAGATACGTTGACTAGGTTTTACCACAGAGAATTAATAACGGACACTAGAAGGTGCTAAAACCACACAAAACTTCCAAGTGTGCCTTTAAGGGATTACATATAGGATTTCTTCACAATTATTATTTTTTTCCATTTGTTCAATGTTCTGAATTTGAACATTAGTCAGATATTTAGTTTGTAACAGACACATTTACATTGAGATTTGACATTTAGATGTAACTTTACAAAACTAGGTTTGATTTATTTTTTTTTATATCTTTTAAAGATTTTATTTTCATAACGTGGCTAAATTAACCTGCCAATTGTTTAATCTTGTAATTTACAAACAGGTAGACATAACGTGCTGACAGGAGAGTGTTTTCTGTATTTAGCATAATTCCGTGGCTTGAGTTTAGTTTTCAGTATTACTGAAAATTTAAATCTTCAATTGACCATTTTAACTTTTTCAGAGATGGGGAATTGTGGCATCAACAATCATCTCCATGCCATGTTTTTCTTCAGTTCAGCAACTAGACCAGGTGATTTCCATCAGCACAGTGAATGAACCTGGTTCAGTTGTTGAGCAGAACAAAATCACGGCATGGAGTTGACTTGATGATGCTACAATTCCCATCTCTGCCAAATGTAGATAACCCAAAAGTAGCAGAGTTGTGTTTCTCAGAGACTTCAAACACCTAAACAACAAATCTAAAGCTTTAACTTGGGCCTAAACATACCTCAAGTGTAAAGCATCATACAAACTTGATCACATGGAGTACAACAAGTATCCAGAGAAGGTGGAGTGGACATACTGACCGGCATAAAGTCCAGCTGCCTGATCTGAAGGAAGCTGTAGGTAAACAGTGTCTCCTTTTCGTAACGGGAGTACAGCACTCCCCGAAGCCTGATCCTGCAACCCCTTTTTGTACTCATCGTATGTGTACATAACAGGCTCATTGTTTTTCATCAGTGCCACCCAAACATTACTTCCTTTGCAGTTAACATGGTAAGCAAAGTAGTAGATTCCTGGGATGCTACAAGTGAAAATACCACTTTGAGGATTGTAGTCCTGATTAGCATTGTGCAGCAGTTTGTCAAAGATGATGGGAGAACCAACCAAAGGGAAAGGATTAGTGAGCTTTGCTGTGAATGAAGGCATCTTCAGAACACTTCCACTCATCTCGCCTCCATTCTTCAATTTATCATAGTTTTGTCCAGTGTAAGGTCCACTGTGAGGGAGGATCTGTCCTAGGTCAGGATATGTAGCAGATATTCCTGGAGGGCCAGGGCGTCCTGGTGGTCCTGGTAGTCCCGGAAGTCCTGGGGGGCCACTGAGACCAGGGCTACCCTGAGGGCCAGTTTCACCAGAGGGTCCAGGACTTCCCTTGCCTGGAAAACCTGGGATACCTGACAGACCTGCTTCGCCTTTTAGCCCTGGAAGACCAGGAGGTCCAATGGGTCCCCCTGGTCCTGTAAGCCCAGGAATACCCTGTGGTCCTGGCTGGCCTTTGTCTCCAGGCTCTCCACCATCTCCTTTTGATCCTTGTAATCCTGTAGCACCAGTAGTGCCAGGTAAACCTCTACTACCAAATTCTCCTTTAGGGCCAGTAGGACCTTGTAAACCTCTTGGTCCAGGTTGCCCAGTCTCTCCTGGAATACCACGCCGTCCTGGAAGACCTGAAGACCCCATTTCACCTTTTGCTCCAGGATTTCCCCATGATCCTCTAGCACCATCCTCTCCCTTCAGTCCTGGGAAGCCAAGATCACCAGGTGGCCCCATTGGGCCTGGTGCACCAGGTATTCCATTAAGACCAGTTGGACCAACAATCCCTGGAAGACCTATTTGACCTTTATCTCCTCTTGGACCTGGTGATCCCGGAAGACCAGCATGTCCCTTGTGACCTTTAGGACCTGGATATCCTGCTTTGCCATAACCTGGCAAACCTGGAGGCCCCGTTAAACCGGGAGGCCCTGGTTCCCCTTTTCCTCCAGCAAGCCCTGGTTGACCTCTAAAACCATCATTTCCTGGTTTCCCAATTCCTGGCATGCCTGGGAGTCCTGGTTGCCCTCTTTCACCTGGTTGTCCTGCCAACCCAGGCTCCCCGGGAAGACCAGGTTTCCCTGGTATTCCTGGTTGTCCAGGTAAACCAATAGAGCCAGGTTTACCATCTCCAGGAAGTCCAGCTTGTCCAGGTGGACCAGGGGGTCCACCAGGTCCTTTTAAACCTGGAAAACCAGGTAAACCAATGCCTTTTTCTCCTTTTGGACCCACAGGACCAGGAAATCCAGGTGGGCCTTTTTGGCCAGGCTCTCCTAATAGGCCTGGTAGACCAGGAAGACCTTGACCTCCTGGTTTGGAAATCCCAGGGAGCCCAGTGGGACCTGGAAGCCCTGGAGGCCCAGGATGTCCAATTGGTCCCTCACCCCCCACTGGACCGATGCCGCCCATTGGTCCTGGTAATCCAGGGCCTCCAGGTTTTCCTGGCAATCCTGGCATACCTGGTTTTCCTATTCCCGTGTAGCCTTGGGGACCAGAGGGACCTGGTTTTCCTGGTAAACCTGGAAGTCCTTGCCCTGGTGACCCAGGGGATCCTTGTGGACCTGGTGGCCCTATTGGTCCAGGGGGCCCCTGAATTCCTTGTGGTCCTTCTCTGAAACCTTGTCCATCTGGAAGAGGCAGAGGTGGACCTTTTTGCCCTCTAGGGAAGATTTGACCTTTGAACAAGTGAAAAAGAAACATGTTTATGTACCAGATTGTCCTGATATATTGCTCTACTTAGTGATTTAATATGTTATTCAGAGCTGGTACACCTACTTCAAACCATAGGAAAACAAAATCCTCACCTTTTCCTTTAGTTGGTGGCATTTGTTTTCCCATTTGCAATGGCAGCTGAGGAAACTCATTTCCATACTGCGGCAGTGATGCCACTTCTTTACCGTAAGACAAGTGGGGCATCTCATTCCCCATTTGCTGAGGAAACCCATCGTTGTATTGTGGTATGGGCTGCTGTGGCGGCTGTTTCTGTCCATAATATGCTCCACCGTAAACTATGTGTAACAAGCATAACTGGAGGAGTAAGATTAGGTTACTGAAAAACTGGAGGGGGATAGCCACCATTTTCCTGTGGAGAAAAAACAGTGCTTCAAAATAAGAAACATCAACATAAACAATGAAATTGGTAACAAATATTAGAAATAATCTTAAAATAAAAGACCATGTCAGTCCACTGCTCAGTAATTTTTTTTTTTTTTGCTTGACTGGTGCAACTGTACTTTTGGGGCAACAATTAGAGTTTCTGTCTAATAAAAAAAATTACAAAAATGACACACAGGTACATTAGACTATTTATTTAAGTTCTTAATGAAATTATTCAGTTGTGTGTCATCTGTATACATGTAAAAAAATAATGCTAAGAATGCTACAAAGAAAAGTGCTCAAAGCAGAACCTTGTGGGACTCCACATTCCAAGCTAATAGTGTATGCCATTCTGATTCATATAAACATGGAAACGTCAGACTAAAAGTAAATAATTAAAGGGCACATATAACTTAAAGTTATAATGATTCTAATTTCCATACATAACATGTTCATGAAGTTCTTTGCACAAAAACAGTTTCACATGAAGCATTTTAGCAGCTTCGTTTCATTCATTCTGTTTCTTTTCAATTCTATTTTCTCCTCATGTATTTACACATTGTAGCAAAACTTGATATCTACCTTGATTTGTTTGCTGACAGTTTTGCCTCCACTGTCTCTTTCATTTATTTATTTATTTATTTATTTATTTATTTATAACAAGAAAATGTAACACAAACAATCCAAAGGGGTTCAAATGAAGGCAACTGGACTTCTTTGATTTCTTGAAAACGTTTCGCTTCTCATCTGAGGAGTGTTGTCATTTCTGACTGGAATTTCGGAGAGTCAAGCTTATAGAGACTAACCAAGGGGTACAATTCCTCAGAAGTCATGGGGTATTCATAGGTATTATCTGCTCGTTAATCAACAATATACAGCTACAGTTTATAAGCTTGACCCTTGTAATGTTTTTGGATGCTTTGAGGAAGGCAACAGTGAAGCTACAACCATCAGAACACATCAAGTTAGATAACTTTTGTCACACTGTGCAAGTACATAGAATTTCAGCAGCTTTATTCCTTACAGTTTCAGTACTTTCCAGAATGGGTTGTTTCAGTGTTCTGTCATTAAAAAAAAACAAGATGGAGCTGGCCACACCCACCCATCCCCTGATTGGCTGCTGTGAGGTGGGGAGCTTGGATATCCGGTAGAAGCTTGTAGTAGAGCCACTGCTTCTTCACGTTTTAATTGTTGACAGGTGAGTGGTGGTTCTATGCTAGTTTTCCACATTATGACATCAAAAAAAGGGAGATTTTGGAACTGCTCATAGAAGAAAATGATTTCTGTTTTGTAGATTTTCAGTCCTCCAGAGATGACAACCTTGAATGTTTAGACAAAACCTTCAAGGATATGATTCCTGAAAATAAACCCTGGCATAAAAAGAGTTTTGTGCTGCCATGTGGGGCAATTTTGCCCCACATGGCAGCACAAAAGGAAACACAAGTGAGTTTGTATGATATGTCCCCTGTGGTGTGACCAATGCCACCAAAGGCAGATGCTAAATGCAACAAAAGAACTGAAATATTCCCAGAAGCAGCAGTAATCATAATGTATTACTTTTCCAAAATTTTTCTTAAATATTAACTTCACTTTGAATTTTTTTTTATTTTTATTATAATCAGCTACTCTGAGTATTTCATGCAGGCTGAACATGAAAATAGACTCCTACACCTGTCTCCTGCAGCTTCTCCTTTAGGGCCAGTAGGACCTTGTAAACCTCTTGGTCCAGGTAGCTTCTGATAGAAAATAAAAGGTCAAACTCTAGGATTAGAAAATCCTGACAGCTCTAACATTCATGGACTCATCCATCTTGACTCACGACGGGGAAGGTTGTTATTGGTTTAGTGCCCAGGAAACAGCAGAGAATATTTTGACTAGTAGAAGCTAACTGTTAGCATTAGCAACTCCACCACACAGCAGAACACCTCCAGGCTTGTGTTACTTGTGGATATAAAACATCAGCGTTGCAAAACAAACAGAGTCAGTGGTAGACTCACGCTGCTGTTAGTCAATAAGAGGCGAGATGTCCAAATATCAAGAAAGAAGACTCCAAATCCTCTCGTCTGAAGCTCAACTCCGATCTGACTCACTTCTAGTTCCTGAAACAGGTGCACCAGAGCTTTTGTCCCCAGAGAATAACTCGCAAGGCCTTCTTTCCTACTAGAGACCACTGCAAATGTACAGTACATGAAAATATGAGTAAAGCTGAGCTTTAAATGTTCAGGAAAGTGCTCAGCCACTTCTTTGATCCTTTTAGTGGTTTTGATACAAACGATGGCCGACAGTTTTGAGAATGGCCCAAATAATATGTCACAAAAATGTCTGCCTCAGGGCACCCTAGAGTTTCACTAGGACCTCACCAGCTGTGGGACCACCCAGATCAGACTTTGCCTTTGAAGGATGGAATGCTGTAAAGGGCGGCAAATCCACTTTAAGAAACATTACAGATATGAATTATTGCACTAAGTTAAAGTAATTGTGAAATAAACTTTTTAAAATGGCAAATGGCCAGTATTTGATATAGCGTCTTCTAGAGTCCTGTAACCCCCCCCAAGGTGCTTTACAACACATTCAGTCACTCATCCATTCATACACACATTCACACCCTGGTGCAGATGAGCTACATTGTAGCCACAGCTGCCCTGGGGCGAACTGACAGAAGTGAGTCTGCCTAATGCAGGCGCCACCGGTCCCTTCGACCATGACCAGCAGGCAAGGTGGGTTAAATGCCTTGCTCAAGGACACATCGGGCAGAGTATGACACCCCAATTTCCAAATAAACCCCTAGAGAACCCATTGGATGAGTTTTTATTGGTAAACCCCACAGTGGGAGGAGTAATGCCTAAGCTTTATAACTCTATCACTAAACTATGTTGTCCTTCATTAGTAGCTATTAGAACTGCCTGGGAGCAGGATCTCAATTTTACAATGTCAGATGAGGTGTGGGCATCCATACTGGGCCAGGTGCACTCCTCATCTATGTGTGCTCGACATGCACTAGTGCAATTTAAGGTGGTCCACCGTGTGCACCTGTCTAAGGCCAAGTTGGCACGTCTATACCAAAACATAGACCTAACTTGCAAAAAATGTAGGGGTGCTCCTGGCTCTTTACTACATATGTATTGGTCGTGCCCCTTCCTGCTTAACTTTTGGAGATCAGTTTTCAGTACAAGCTCTGAAGTTCTGCAGTGTCAGGTGGAGCCAAACCCTGTCTCTGCTATATTTGGTGTCGCCCCAGATCTGACCTTACCACATTCCGAACTAAGAATCCTATCCTTTTTGACCTTACTGGCCAAAATAGCTGTTTTGCTGAAGTGGAAGGACTCTTTTCCTCCCTCTCATGCCCACTGGATAAGAGATACTATGTTATGCATGGATCTTGAAAAAATCAGATACACTGTCCGTGGTTCTGTAAACAAATTCTTTAAAGCTTGGCAAACTTTTTTGACATTCGTTGAGAAATCCACAACTAATGTTTCTGAGTAGCGCCCCCCACCCCACCCCCCTATCCTATTTTTCCTCTTCCTTTCAAAGATACTTTATTAATCCTTGAGGGAAATTAGAGTTTCAGTACACACAATTCTGAGATTAGACATACATAGGCAAAGACACATGACAAGAATTGGTGACTGTGGTCATTCGCAACCCTGAGTCGCACTACCTTCAATAGAGATCAGAGGGGTTACATGAGGATTGGCTCGGGTGGAGGGAAAAAAAAGGGCACTTCGGCGTTACCCTCCACAGGGAGAGCAGCTTTCCTGTTCAGGGTTGGCAGTCTGGGGTTTGTTCTTGGGGTAAAACTTGAGAAAATTCACATTGTTCTGAAATGTACTTGTCAGGTCTATTTTTCTAAAATAAAAAAGACATGAATAAAAAAAACGCACTTACGCCAAGTAGCTTTATCAAACATGGAGTACGCACAGCTGCACGCAATCTCCGCTTCATAAATCAGAAACTATCTAGGAAGGTTCTCCGCTGCTTTTTAGTCACATCCTGCCCTCACCACGCCCACTTACTGCCATAAATAGTCAATGCAAAGTGCCTTGTGGATCTCATGCATATACATAAGCTGGCTGTTGCAGCATTTCGATCACGATCCCAGATCAAGGAAGCACAATTTCACAACCAGAAGTTGCGGTACTTTTGGGTGATGGCGTGTATGTTGTTGTAGGGTGCAGAATGAGACCACTTTGTTACCGAGTTCAACTCCTTTATTTAGCCTCCAACATGCTAACTCCCTGGTTGTTTTCTCCTACCCCTCTCTTGCTCCCCCGCCTGGCCACATCTTATATTACTCCATTACACCACAACCCCCTTTCTGCAAGTTTGTGAAAACATCAGTGTATTAACTACCCCTAATTAAACCATTTCAAAACATAAACATGTGTCACCTTATCCACCTTCTGTACTTTAACATCTTCTGTCTGTCTATTTTTTTTCCCTCAAACCAGACCATAACACATTTGCATTACTTAGACCCGAAAAGTCTCACAGGTCCAAACTCTGTGGCCTTTTGACCTCTCTACCCGACGTAGTTGTCACAACATCTGGGGTACTCTGTAGTGTCTTTGTTGGCGACCGGGGGTCTTGATCTGAGGTCCGTTTTTCCTGGTCATTGTCCTGACCCTCTGCTGTTGGCATAGACACAAGATGGCTCCGATTTCTCCTCAGCAAGCCTTGCAGTCCTTCAACCAGGTATGATCTCAGGTTTTGATGTTTGGATGTCACAGTTCCCTGTGTCTTTGCATCCATGATCCAGACTTCCTCTCCGGGAGCCAATGGAGCTAGGTCTCTTGCCCTGTGTCTGCTGTTGCAGTTATGAACATCCATCCGTCTCCTCTCTGCGTCTTTCTGTTGAAGAGCCTGCAGGTCAGGTACAGCATGCTGTAGTCTCTCTGGTAGGATTGGGAGAGTGGTACGAAGATGGCGGCCCATGAGCAATTGGGCCTTCGTGAGCAGATTTTTGACAGTCTGGACAGCGCACTC